TTTAAGTTTTAACTTTATACATATAAGATATAAACCTATGGCTCCCAGGGGCGGGGCTAATTTTGACACAAGAGGCAAAATTTGAACAACTTTGGTAGAGTACCTTTAGATGATATTATTTAACAAATATTAAAGCTCTAAGCCTTGTACCTTCAGATAATAAGATTTTTTGATTTTTTACTATATGTATATATTGAAATCAATGACCCCCAGGGCAGGGGCAATTTTGACCCCAGGGCTATAATTTGAACAATCTTACAACACAATTTTTCATGCAAAATATCTAACCTCTAGCATTAATTTTGTCAATTGCTAGAAGATTTTTTTTTAAGTCTTTCCTATATACATATAAGGAAAACCAATGACCCCTGGGGTAGGTCGATTTTGACCCCAGGGCTATTATTTGAACAATCTGGGTAGAGGTCTACCAGACAATGCCTTATGCAAAATATCTAAGCTCTAGGCCTTTTGGGTCTTTACAAGAAGGTGTTTTAAGTTTTTACTATATGTATATATAGCGAAAACCAATGACCCTGGGGCGGGGCTGATTTTGACCAAAGGGCTATAATTTGAACAATCTTGGTAAGGGTCTACCAGATGATGCCTTATGCAAAATATCTAAGCTCTAGGCCTTTTGGGTTTTTACAAGAAGGTATTTTAAGTTTTTACTATATGTACATAGTGAAAATCAATGACCCCCAGGGCCGGGCCAATTTTGACCCCAGGGCTATAATTTGAACAACCTTGTTAGAGGTCTACCAGACAATGCCTTATGCAAAATATCTAAGCTCTAGGCCTTTTGGGTCTTTACAAGAAGATTTTTTAAATTTATTCTTATAATTCCTTTTGGTTGCCATGGCAACCAGATTTCTGCATGGAATGAAATTCTTTGAACAACTTTGGAAGCCCTTCACCCAAGGAACAATCCTGCCAAGTTTGGTTGAAATTGGACTAGTGGTTTTTCACAAGAAGATTTTTTAAGTTCACTATATAGTCTATATAACACACACACACACAAACACACACACACACACACACACAGGTGAATCGCTATATGCCACCGCATCGCAGATGCTGCGGTGGCATAACAAGCACCGCCGTGTGGTATTTACATCTGTCAAGGAACGGTAACCAGTTAAGAGTTTCGAATAGATTTATTGCCGGAGATCTTTGTGGTTGCTGTAAAATGATTTTAGCAATTCGTTTTTGTAATTTACAAACATTATTTATGTAGTTTGTGTTTCCTTTACCCCATATAATACAACAATAGTCCATAATGGGCAATATATATGCATTGCAAAACAATAATTTCATATCAAAGTGCAAAAAATACGATATTTTTTTCAATAAGGCAATTTTTCCGTTAATTTTTTTACAAACATTGTCGATTTGCAAGTGCCATTTTAAGTTGTTATCTATGCAAATACCAAAGACTTTTTGATCAGTTACATTTTCAAGAGCTATTTCATTTATCTTAAGATACAATTTTCTCATAATATTTACTTTTTGTCTTGTTCCTATTACCATGCATTTTGATTTATCTGGATTTAAGGCCATATTATTTATTTTGCACCATTTGTCAATGTTATTTAAATGATCTTGAAGTTTTATTTCTACTTTTGATATATTTTCTCCGGACTCATAAAGAGTAGAATCGTCTGCGTATAAATCAATTTTTATTTCATTACCAATGAAAGCTATGTCATTTATGTATATTAGAAATAATAAAGGTCCTAATATTGATACGATTAAAATAAAATGCTATTATAAATTCGTATACAATAGATAAAATGACTGATGACGGTATATAACCTGACGATATCGACAGTCAATTGAAAGGATGTGTCATTTTGGAAATATCTTGTATTGCTTTTTGACTACGGATAGTCCAAATATTATGTTGGTGGATATGGAGCCCATATCCACATATGGACTAAATTGAGTAACGATTTCAAACAAGGGTTTGTACGTGTGTTTTACAAACCTGAAGGTGATTTTGTTTGCTTGTTTAATGACTTTGCCCCAAATCAAAATACCTTAACACACTGCAATAATTTCTAAAAGAAAAACTGCCGTCTACGAAACAAGTCATAACATATATTCAGCAGCTACTAAACTATTAAACATAATTACCGCCACCTTTCACATTTCAAGTTTTAGTTCAGTTTTTACTAATGATCGATCAATAATGGATCTTCAATATATTGCATTAGGCGCATGCATTGACCTAAAATGCAGATTTCAAGACCATTGCTTTTTGTCATCAAACAATTCTTTCAGAAGTCATTGGGTCCATATATATCATGACATATAAATCGCTATCATCCACACGAAAATATTGTGGCCAATAATCATGACTGAGTGGCTAGTGATCTGCTGGTCATTTTTGTGTCGCCTACTACAGCTAATTTTTGTCAGAGTTATGATCCTTTCATAGATTGCCCGGCCCAAACTCTAAAAACAAACTACGGGGCAAATTTCAATGAAAATTTAGGGCCCTTTGGGCGATTATTACCCCCAGTTTTCCCCCTTGGGAAATGTTTTTTAACCCAAATTTTTTGGCCCTTGAATAAAAACGTGTTTTTACCTGTTAATGATTTTTATGTTGCCAGCTACACAGAATCTTTTATGGACTATTCTTCAGAAACAACTGGTGCAATTTCATTGAATTTTTACAAGAATTAACAGTAATAAGTCATGTTGTGCATATCGTCAGCATATTCTGGTTCAATTTTTTTGTCAGAGTTATAGCCCTTTAATGATTTTTTATTTTTCCAAGTTTTGTCTTGTACTACTAATACAATTTATAAGAAAGTTATGACATGATTGACTAGAACCTCAAGTATTTGGGCATAATGAACAGGTTTTCCGATTGAATGAGTTATGGCCTTTGTATAACATTCTGTCATGATTTTTGTGTCCCCCGATTTTTGTGCCCCCTGATACACAGTAGCTGAATATGCAATTGACTATCAGGCAACACAAGTGATCACTGATCGCTCTTGTTAAATGTTGTTCTATTCACATAGTTTCTGGCTCTAGAAAAATTCTTCACAAAAATTTTCCTATCTTGTAGAAAAAGAATAAACAATGAACAAATTTGCTTGTGAAACACATTTATTTCTACAAAATAACCAAAATTTGCATTAGGTTAGGGAAGCCCCCCCCCCCCCCCCCCCCCCCTTCTCAAAATAATGAAATACACAGGAAAAACTAGCTATGGTTAGAGCTTGATGATAAAGTATGTTAATAGGTCAATATAAGAATATTCAAGTTCATATACATGTAATTGAATAAGGTAAAATCCATATAAGAGTTGTCAGTGATCAACAATTCTGACCCTGAATTTTTATTTGGTCAGTAGTCATAGATCAAGATTTACAGTTAACTAGGGGTATACTTCAGCAAATAAAATTGATGCTAGAGTTATTGGTATTGGACAGTGATTTTCAATATTTTCCGAAGTTTCTCAAGTAAATGCCTTCATTGGTTGATAGAACATAAATGTAAATTTTTTAATAGGAATGTAAGTTTCACAAAGGGCAGGGTTTATTCTAAGATTCGAAAAACAGGGGGGATTTTTTATCAAAAAGTGAGAATTTATTTCATTTGTTGATCTTTTTCCTTCTTTGTCTATGTAAAATTTTACCCCTTCCTCTCAAAAAATAGGGGTGAATTCTCAACAAGAGGGCCATGAGGTCGCTCACCTGTATAAAGGCACCCGGAGCGGGGCCAGTTTAAACCCCAGGGCTTTTATTTAAACAAACTTGGAAGACACCCATTAGAAGATGTTTCACGATGTTAAGTTTTTACTACACACATATAATGAAAAACAACAATCTACCACCCTCCTTCCGCCCCCCCCTCCTTGGCAGGGCCTATTTTAACCCAAGGGAAACTTGGTAGACACGCATAAGAAGATGTTTCATGCTATACATCTAAGCTCTAGCTCATTGGGTTTTTTTAAAAGAAGATACATATAGTTAAAACCAATGACACCCCTGGGGCGGGGCCAATTTTGACCCCAGGGCTTTTATTTGAACAAACTTGGTAGACACCAATTAGAACATGGTTCATGCTATATATCTTAGCTCTAGCTCTTTGAGTTCTTTAAAAGAAGATTTTTTAAGTTTTTGCTATATACATAAAAGGAAAATCAATGACCCCCGGGGCGGGGCAAATTTTGACCCCAGGGCATTTATTTGAACAAACTTGGTAGACACCAATTAGAACATGGTTCATGCTATATATCTTAGCTCTAGCTCTTTGGGTTTTTTCAAAGAAGATTTTTTAAGTTTTTGCTATATACATAGAAGGAAAATCAATGACCCCCAGGGCGGGGCCAATTTTGACCCCAGGGCTTTTATTTGAACAAACTTGGTAGACACCAATTAGAACATGTTTCATGCTAAATATCTTAGCTCTAGCTCTTTGAGTTCTTTAAAAGAAGATTTTTTAAGTTTTTGCTATATACATAGAAGGAAAATCAATGACCCCCGGGGCTGGCAAATTTTGACCCCAGGGCATTTATTTGAACAAACTTGGTAGACACCAATTAGAACATGGTTCATGCTATATATCTTAGCTCTAGCTCTTTGAGTTCTTTAAAAGAAGATTTTTTAAGTTTTTACTATATGCATATAGGGAAAATCAATGACCCCCTGGGGCGGGGCCAATTTTGACCCAAGGGCTTTTATTTGAACAAACTTTGTAGACACTCATTAGAAGATGTTTCATGCTTAATATCTAAACTCTAGCTATTTGGGTTTTTTCAAAGAAGATTTTTTAAGTTTTTTTCTATATGCATATAGGGAAAATCAAAGACCCCCTGGGGCGGGGCCAATTTTGACCCCTGGGCTTTTATTTGAACAAATTTGGTAGACACTCATTAGAAGATGTTTCATGCCAAATATCTAAGCTCTAGCTCTTGGGGGTTTTTTAAGAGAAGATATTTAAAGTTTTTTTCTTTCGGTTGCCATGGCAACTGGAGTTCTGCATGGAATTAAATTCTTTGAACAATTTTTAAAGGTGACCACCAAAGGAACATTCCTGTGAAGTTTGGATGAAATTGGCTTAGTGGTTTATGAGGAGATGTCATTTAAAGTAAAAGTTTACGGACGGACGCCGGACGGACGCCGGACGAAAAGCGATCTCAAAAGCTCACCCTGTCACTTTGTGACAGGTGAGCTAAAAATATAGGTGAATACCCCCAATCGCCCTTCCTAGAATAGACACTGAAAGGGACTTAATTCAGTCAAAACCTATGATAGAGTTATGGGTGTTGGATAGTGACCAACATAGGTAGTCTTGAAAACATGTGTAAAATTTCCAGAGCACACTTCAGTGCTAAATGAAGTACGAAGTTGTAAGAAAAACCTTAACCAAGCATTACATAAACCCTGACACACTGGTAGGTAGGATAGCCACACTATTCTTCCAAAAGAAACACTGAAAATTTTAAATAACACTGTACTACAATGTATTGTCAATTCAAAATACACGTAATCAGAAATGAGCATGATAAATTTGACAATGAAAAATTTCATTGAAAGATATTTCTATAGTTTTTTGCTTAAAAAAGTCTCAAATATTGAATGAATTATTTTAATTGTAATTTCAACACAAAAACAGTCCACTTTTCTGCATTTAAACTTTATGTGACTTTTCATCTAATTTTCCATGACTAGGATGATAAATTTCCATCATCTTCCGACTAAAGAAGTGCTTGCCATCCTACTGGTTTCCCGGCATCATTTATCTGTTTCCATGGTTTTAAAGTCCAAAGGTTGAAAACCAGCTCATATTATAGTCCAACTGAAGACTGTGCACAAGAGCAACAACTATCTAGTAGTGAAGACCCGAGCTGGAACCTTTGGAAGATTTCTTTCATCACATACAAACATTATTATGGAGAATCCACAGGCAGAGGTGGTCCAAACTGTTCTATAGTTTGTATTACAAGATTTAAATGATCAAGAAAAGAATTCATTCCAACTCGTAGAGATCTTGCTTCTTTGGATTCAAAATGACTGAAAGAAAAAAAAATGAAGTGAATAAGAAAACTTTATTGCTTTATAAATTATAACATGCCTGTGATAAACATATTAAACATTTCAAAAAAAATTTTGTATTACAAGTATATTATTGAAACCTTTCAATAAACTAACTTTAGCAAACTAAATATTTCATTCAACCATTAATAATCTTAAGTTGGCCAATTATTTATTCATTTAAGCTTCGTTGGCCAACATGCTTTCCTTAATCTAATATTCATGGGGACTAGACTGCCTTTTCTTATACCTAATATAATCATGGAGATTTATTTCAACCAACGTTTGTCAAAACATTTATATCTTATATTCATGGTAACTGAATTCCTTTACCTAATTTTCAAAGAAACAGAATTTGCAAACCTTTTTGGATATAATTATGTAACATTTATCTAAACTAAATATACAGGAAAATACATGTACAAAACATTGTATGATGGTGAAGAGAAAACATATAAACAATATATTTACACATGTAAAACTGTTTCCTTCACAGAGAGTGTTTTCTTACAGCCTCCTCGCTTAGGTTCAGGGTCAACACTTAGAGTGCCATAGGCAATTTCAGCTTCCCTTTTTGTACTGAATGGCACCTGTAAATCTCTGAATTTATTGTCAAGGAATTAATTAATATGTACTAACATCGTAAATGAAAAATAATGGCAATTTTTCACAACATGAGAAGATGTAACTTGAACAATACCAGCCATATACCAATACCTAGGTTTTTTTCCTTTATTTATTGGCAGCCTGGCCAAGGGAGTTTCCTTCCACCATTTACCTATCACTGAATACTGCCAACCCATCTCACAAGTGTTTTAAGGAAATATGTATGTGTCGGAATATTAGTAATATTAAGGTGAAAGAATCTCGAAAGTTTAGTAAAAGGTGGAAGAAAAGTTTAGTCCAGATGTTGTAAACATGCCAGGAAAGTAATTGCATTTTATAGTCTAAGTTTAATGCTTACGCATGTTCACCGACTTTACAGCTATTACCCCTGGTCATCGGGCTACTGGTATCTATCTATCAATCTCCCTGGGGAGTCTTTTAACTCCGCTTAGTGCAGCCGACACTTTGGCGCAACAGAATTATACCACCCTCGCAGGTACCCATTTACACCTGAGTGAAGTGAAGCAATTGCAGGTAAATTTCTTGCTCAAGGAAATTAGCAGTGCCCTTGGTGGGGTTCGAACCCGGGACCTCTCGATCCCTAAGCACGCGTCCTACCACTGGACTACTGCTCCTGACTGTAAGGTAAACTAGTCTAGGTTAAAATTTTAAAAGTGAGAGGAAAAGACAAATTATAAAGTAGTTAAAAACACTGGATGCAAGACTAATGTAAACACGTATGTTTATATATTATCAACATAAGTTTGAAACAGAAATTGTAGTAGAAATATATATATTTAATAAGATCTATCCTTGCCCTTGGACAGCATGCTAAATTTCTTAGTTCTGGCTTCCATAACTTTATATGTCTCTTTTATTTTGACGTTGTGCGACAGTAAAGTTATGGGTAAACCCTATTTGCAAAGGCTACCAGAATTTTGGCAGTTTGTGTGCCTTACATAAAAACCTATTAAAATCACCCTTATTAATCAAATTTGGGTCAAATAAAAATACCATTTGATAAACAAATCAATTTTGAATCAATTCATGTTTTGTTTTTAAATGAAACTTCAATGACATTGTGTACCCAACTATTTGTTAGGGAAATATGTAGAGAATGTTTACCAATATGGAGTCTGCTTTCAAATGAAATCTCGCGGGACTTCAAGTTTTGGGAATTCTAGCATCTATTTTTAGTAACGGACCATACACTATTTTTAGTAAGTGTACGATTTTAAATAAAAACAAACAAATAATTCATGAATCATCACTCAAAACAATATAAATCCAACATGTTTTTGGTACAATGTCTGTTATTGAACAAATACACTGTTATTCATAATTGCAAAGCCATGTTTTCAATTAAAAATAGCATATGGGTCACGGGTCACCAAATGTCATGCAAAGGTATCCAAACCTAAATTCTCGCTAGTCACGTGATAATAAGGGCAGCAATGGCGGCGAATTTTATGAAATGTGAACCAACTGATAAACTTTGAAGTATTATTTCATCAATCTAACGTTCTGTTTTAAAAAAATAGACTGAAGTGTCCCAAATAATTAACTACCTGTATTAAAATAGCTTTTGTCCAGATCACGCAAATTTATTGAATTACAGCATGACATAAATATGTCACGGTTCTGGTTGACTTTCGATACGGGATTGGCTTCAGCGAACAGGTCTAGCAGTACTATAAAACCTGTGCGCTGAAGTCTCTTTAGCTATAAATTTCTCAGTGCTGGATGTTTGAAAAAAGGAAAATAAAAAAAAGATTCTGCAAACATGCACATTGCTTCTAAATTATAGCTATATAATGTACTGACAAATTATAATCAAACATAATTATATTGTTCAAATGTGTTGAAAAGGGCATTTATCCGAACATCATCAGTATCCGAATACATGCCAATGTATTATCATCTCAAAACACGTAATTACAAGGAAGGATACGCTGACAGTATGTCTGTCATTTTGTATACTTAACTGCTTTTGAAAGTGCAAATAAACAGAATAAATTGGTAAAAGATAAATGTTAAAAATTGACAAAAATGTTCAACTTTCAAGTTACGCTTCCTTTGGGTCTGGTACTACTAAATGTTAATAAACGAGGCCAATGTCTACTAAATTACTTTACTTAGTACTTTACAACCTTCGAGGAATAATTCCTCGAAGGTTGTAAAGTACTAAGTAAAGTTTGTTCATCATCTCATCTCAGGCCAGTAGAGCTTACATAGCATTTGCCCTATTTCAAAATATATTTCAACCTCTACACTTTATATTAACAGGAAAAACATAATTAATTGTACTGTACTTATGCTTTTATCTTTTTATCTCAGTCTTGTAGTTTTCTTTAACTTGCTTTTTATGTTATACCTATAAATTTGCACTTAACACATTTGTTTTTTACAGCTTTTCCCAGACAATTCGCCTGCTTAGTATAATCGTAAACGATTTTAAAGCAGTATAATGTAGATGTTCTTCTTTCTCATTAATGTCATACCCCATTTTGGGGACCTAGACATGGCTGTGACTTGAAGTCACAAATCAAATCAAATCAAATCAAAATTTATTTATTGTCGGTATGTATATATATATATATAACATTTCACAAAACATAAGCTATGTATAGCTTTTTACCGACATAAGATTCCTTGGTTTCATATCTAGTAACCACATCAGTGTGGATTACCAGTGTCAAAAGAAAATCTTGCTACTACTGTCATTTTCAAGAACTCACACCCTCTGAATTAGTAGCCAGATGCCATACATCACTCTTCCACCAAATAAATATTTACAGTGATAGTTTCCAGACACAATAATTGTTATATAGGATATTTGGTATTAGAAAGTTTTGTGTTATTAGAAAGAAAGAAAGAAAGAAAGTTATTGAAAGAAAGAAAGAAAGAAAGAAAGAACTGGCTTGATATTAAGGTACAATGTATTAAGGAAGCAATTGGAATTATACCCACAGCCCTAGAGGAGAAAGACCTCTTGAACACCTTTATGCAATATTTCATAAATTAATAGGCAACCAAGACAACTTTTGGTAAACAAGCTGGTAATTATAAGCCACTCACATGAAATAGTTTAGTCCCTAATACGATTCTAACCTATAGCATAAGAGGAGCCAGTCATTTGTGGTCTATGTGTTGCACATAGTGAAATCAAAACTGAGCAGTACTTTGTTTTGTGATGAGTTAGAAACATATCTTTCTTACTTAGAATTATAGCGAGTTAAAAACATAGCCATTCTTACTTTGTTTAAAAATAATTAGCCATCCTGACATCATTTGAAGTGAAATAAAAAGAATTGTTCTTTGTATTGCACTGACATATATGCAGAGCTATACTTACTTTGTGTTGTAGTGAGATAAAAAAAAAATGGGAAAGGACAGTCCTTGTGCTTAATGAACTAAAAACTGTGCTGTCTTTAGTGCAATAAAAAAGAACACCTCCTTGTAGTATGTAAAAAAAACCTAAACCATCCTTACTTTGTGCCATAGTGAGATAATTAAAATGGAGTCCTTTGTAATGTAGTTAGCTTAAAAACCAAGCTGTCCTTATACTCTGTGCTGTAGTAAGATATAAACTAAGCTGTCTTTAACTTGGTAATGTATCAAGATAAAAACTGAGCTAACCTTATAATTAGTGCTCATAGAAGTGACTTTAAACTTAATGCTTCAGTTACATAGATACAACATTGATCAATTCTTTGTACAGTAGTGAGATGAAAACAAAATAATTCTGTTCTAAGGTAGTAAAATGGTGTGTTGCCCTAACTTTTTACTGCACTTAGATGTATAAAGGCATTCCTTTGTAATGTAATGAGCTACAAACTGAACCATCTTTAACATATGTATGTTAGCAGGTTAAAAATAGAATAGTTTTTTGAACTGGATCGAGATTTAAAATGAAATACGAGCTGTCCTCAATTTGTATGGTGGTGAGATTTAAAGTAATTCTTTGTAATGTGGCAATACTGGAAAATAAAGAGCTGTTCTTAATTTATATGGTAGTGAGATAAAAACTGAGTTGCCTTACTTTGTGCTGTAGTGAGATAAAAACTGAGTTGCCCTACTTTGTGCTGTAGCGAGATAAAACCTGAGTTGCCTTACTTTGTGCTGTAGTGAGATAAAACTGAGTTGCCCTACTTTGTGCTGTAGCGAGATAAAAACTGAGTTGCCTTACTTTGTGCTGTAGTGTGAGATAAAAACTGAGTTGCCCTACTTTGTGCAGTAGTGAGATAAAAACCGAGTTGCCTTACTTTGTGCTGTAGTGAGATAAAAACTGAGTTGCCTTACTTTGTGCTGTAGTGAGATAAAAACTGAGTTGCCCTACTTTGTGCTGTAGTGAGATAAAAACTGAGTTGCCCTACTTTGTGCTGTAGCGAGATAAAAACTGAGTTGCCTTACTTTGTGCTGTAGTGAGATAAAAACTGAGTTGCCCTACTTTGTGCTGTAGTGTGAGATAAAAACTGAGTTGCCCTACTTTGTGCAGTAGTGAGATAAAAACCGAGTTGCCTTACTTTGTGCTGTAGTGAGATAAAAACTGAGTTGCCCTACTTTGTGCAGTAGTGAGATAAAAACCGAGTTGCCTTACTTTGTGCTGTAGTGAGATAAAAACTGAGTTGCCTTACTTTGTGCTGTAGTGAGATAAAAACTGAGTTGCCCTACTTTGTGCTGTAGTGAGATAAAAACTGAGTTGCCTTACTTTGTGCTGTAGTGAGATAAAACTGAGTTGCCCTACTTTGTGCTGTAGCGAGATAAAAACTGAGTTGCCTTACTTTGTGCTGTAGTGAGATAAAAACTGAGTTGCCCTACTTTGTGCTGTAGTGTGAGATAAAAACTGAGTTGCCCTACTTTGTGCAGTAGTGAGATAAAAACCGAGTTGCCTTACTTTGTGCTGTAGCCAGATAAAAACTGAGTTGCCTTACTTTGTGCTGTAGTAAGATAAAAACTGAGTTGCCATACTTTGTGCTGTAGTGTGAGATAAAAACTGAGTTGCCCTACTTTGTGCAGTAGTGAGATAAAAACCGAGTTGCCTTACTTTGTGCTGTAGTGAGATAAAAACTGAGTTGCCCTACTTTGTGCAGTAGTGAGATAAAAACTGAGTTGCCTTACTTTGTGCTGAAGTGAGATAAAAACTGAGTTGCCCTTCTTTGTGCTGTAGTGAGATAAAAACCGAGTTGCCCTACTTTGTGCTGTAGTGAGATAAAAACTGAGTTGCCCTTACTTTGTGCTGTAGTGAGATAAAAACTGAGTTGCCTTACTTTGTGCTGTAGTGAGATAAAAACTGAGTTGCCCTTACTTTGTGCTGTAGTGAGATAAAAACTGAGTTGCCTTACTTTGTGCTGTAGTGAGATAAAAACTGAGTTGCCCTACTTTGTGCTGTGGTGAGATAAACACAGAGTTGCCCTACTTTGTGCTGTTGTGAGATAAAAACGGAGCTGTCCCTAATGCTTTAACAAGACAAGAACTGAGTGATCCTTACATTGTGCTGATATGAGATAAAAACTTAACTTTGTGCAAATAAAAACTTATGTACATGAATCTAAGTTAAAGCTTAATTACATAAAAGCATTGATCAAATATATGAGGTAAGATATGAACCATCATTACTCTGTATGTTCCTGTAGAGATATAAAAACGGGGCAACTGTTTTTATATGATCAAGTTAGATAAAAGAAATAACAAAAACTATTTCACAAATAAATATTTATTAATTCAATAATCAAGTCAGATAATAACAAATAAGACAATAGACGGTAATAGGTCTGTTATTATACTGGTAACATTTTTGTTATATTAACTATGAATATATGAAAAATATATACTCTAAACATTTATACATATACATGAATTTTAAACCAGAAATTCAAAATAAAAATAAAAAATCACAATCAAGACAAAAATATCACAGACAGTCCTTTATCATAATACTTCAAACAATCAAGAATAAATAAACTTTCCATGTAAAATGTTAAGAAATGACAAAAAGTTTTCAATAATTCATGCTTTCTATACATCTGAGTTTTTCAAAGTTGAGAGGTCACTTTGAAGGTTATCTCACCCTCTGTTACTTTGATAGTATATATGTCCCACTTACTGAAAGCTTGTATATTTAGACATAGTACAAATAAATAGTATATGTATGTATGTACATGTAGGTGATTTTCTATCATTTATTTTACAAGTCTGAAATAATCTTTTTCATACATACATATACATGTATATTCTTCTGCTCTGAGTCATTGTTTATATTTCATTGTTATAATCATGAAAACAATACTAAACAATTTCAAGCAAACAAACATAACACAAATGTTTTTAGGAACAAGCATAACAAGAATGTTTATATTAGGACAACGTTTGATATCTCATATACAGTATATCTCAAACATTAAGTACAGCCTCGTGTTTCTCATCATAGGAACCTCGTGCCTGGACTGTCAGCTGTCTTGTCCTTTCTCCGAGTACACCATAAAATGTAAACACAGATTCATAATCTTCCGCATGCCTGAAATTATATACATTTGTGCATTTAAAAAATCAGTGAGACTAAAAATACTGATGGAGCACCACACTAAATATCGAATTCTGGTATACAAGGCACTTGAATGATAAATGCTAATATCTCGCCTTTTCACCAGCCTGAATGCACTTTAAGATGTCATAATTATTTTTTCACACCAATTTATATACAATAATGAATGAAAAATGTAAAAATTGGCATAAAAAAAAAACAATTTTTTTTCTACTTTGTGATCATTATTTCTGCAAGCATCTAGAGGTACATGCTCCAACACTGTAGTGAGTTAAATCCTTTAAAAACATATACAAAGTGCATACCCCTAATTATGGACTATAATTTGGTTGGGTTTTTTAAGTTGACTCAATATAGTAAAGGTCATATGGCAACGTTCCAGCTTTACTGATAGAGGAAGACCTCAGTGCCCCTCCATGCATTATTTTAGGCCTTAAAGCAGGCATCTAAGTAGAACTACCAACATTTTATGCCCTATATATATTTTATATTTGGTATGGAATCAGTTTAAAAGTTAATGGTGTTATAGTCAAATACCAAGAAAAAAATCAGAAACAGATAAGGCACACAAACATGAACATTAATTAAGTAATTATATATTATCTATTGTAGACATTTCAGCCCAGATGCCTTTATCAGTGTAAAATTTAATCTTATCAGAAACAAATAAAGAAATTATTATACTTATAATACTTACTTGGCAGTAAAGAAGACCTTCAACAAACTCTTGCTATCACTAATATGGGTGATATGAGCATCCAAAAATCCTGAAGTTGGTTCTACACAGAACACTTCATTTGCTTGATTCCCATATGAACCTGAAATGGTAAAAAAGTCACCATTGTTAACATGATTTACGTATAATATCAAGTTTATACAACAAATTTTCACCCCTTTTCACAGTTTAAGGTGGATACATTGTATATGCTAAACGTCAAACTTCAAACAACCATAAGCTATCTGCATTACTGCAACACATGAAAAAATTTGCATCTACTATGAACCAAACTTGCTAAACATTCTAAATTATTAGATGCCATATAATAATTTTGTATTCACCATTAAACAAAACAGTACAGACTCAACAAATTCAATTTTGAAATAGCTAATTTATCTAGATGTAGAAGTTTACAGATCAAATAGGTAAAACACAAAAGAGAATAATTGCTACAAGTAAAATATTTATTACCTGAATAAACATATATGGGATGGTGTCTAATTTGTTATCATCCAAAAAAGAATAACTGCTAAAAGTGAAATTATCAATTACCTGAATTAACAGACCAGAATGTATGGGACAATGTCTGATTGGTTATCATCAACTGCATCTCTCTAGTCTGACCAACTAGGCAAGTTCCAAAATCAATGAACTCCTTAGACAGCTCAAACTGAGGTACTGTAAGTGTGGCATGTAGTGGAACCATCTGAAAGAACAAAAAATGTATAGAGTTATCAACTTTAATATTAAGTTCCAGTTTCTTCCAAATTTCAAAGATATGGCAGTTAGCCAGGGGCATACCTAGCCCTACATTCATAATTTATGCTGAGAGGGTTCTGTGACATGCCCCTGAAAAATTTGTGCAATCTAGCTAATGCATTATGTGTATACTAAGCTGCTCTATTGGGTACTGAAAATGAATTATTTCTTAATCTTAAATCAACAAAATAGAGATATAAACTTGCAGAATCTTCTCTAAAATTAAGCTTATATACATGTATCATATAAATACAGTTTCTACATAATTGAATTTAACAAATCAGCCTACCCACATACCAGTATAACAGCAGAAAACCACTTTATGTCAAATACCAATTGAGCATTTAAGTCATACATGTACTAACCTGATGAGCTCCATTGTTGAACTCTATCATTAAGTTGTCGGTGATTTCAATTTTCTTGCCACTGCTTTCATCATCTACATCTTTCAAATACTCTTCAGTAAGAAGGTTGGTACTTGTCTGGAATGCGACCTTGACCTGAAAAGTGACCAAAATTGAAATATAATCAAAGGCCTGGCCAATACCATTGTCATCCTGGCATTAGGAATACATGTACTATGTACAAACTTGATTCACCTAAATATTGTTAAGAATTACATTTCTAATCAGTATTTCAATATCAAACTTGTATGATAAATATATAAAAACAAGAAAATAGTGATGTGAAATCATTATTGTCTTTTCCATCACCTATCAGCAACAAGCAAAATCTTTGCTTCCCACAAGGTGCTACCCTGCACAGGTTGTATTATCCAAACAATTTAAATAATAATTCCATAGTCCTGGAAAATTTGGAAAACGTGCTTAACACATGAAAACAGTTTAAAAATCATCTTCCAATTAAAAACCAAACATAAAGGGATTGTTGTTGACTTTTATGAGATTATGACTTTACGAGTTTTTTTTCTTACAAGAAAAACCTACTAAAATCATATGACTTACTAAGATTGTATTACTTCTATTTGAACAAATTATTAGGACATTATGACTTCTAGATTTGTTCTAATAGGCACTACTCACTTAGACAATATGAATCCTACATTTTTATTCTTATACAAACACCTAAGTATGACCATCAATTAAGACTTCTAGATTTTTAAAAAAATTAAGAACATCCTATGAAGAAAGTATGACTTCTAAATTTTTTTAAAGATAAGAACAACTTACTATAAAGTTATGCCTTGGTTTAAGTGTGTGCATATCAGTTGAATGTGATCTTGTGAGTCCCTCTTTGTTGCTATATGGGTCAAGCTCAACCATAACAAACGGTTGTTTTGTCGCCAGTTTAAATGTGAGTGGCGTCAGTGTTAGATTGGACAACATCACACTCTGTGTCTGCAAACTTTCTGGTAATAACTGTAAAACATATTACAATAAATCCTTATTTATATGATGATCAAAATGTGAACGCTATTAAAGTATATTTAATAGGGAAAAAACTACAATTTATTAACACAACTGATGTACATTGTGTATTAGTACTATATAATATGAAAAAATAACCTTTAATTAATTAATTGCAAAGTCTGATATTTGCAAGACGACAACAATGCTGAAGAAATCATAATAACTCAATTTTCCTGGAAACAGACAAGCTAGAAATGATGGGGGAAAGGATCTGATGTACAAGGTATGTTTGTTTGTTTGTTTGATTTTACGCCTTTTCCCAACAGTATTTCAATCATATAGGCGGGTATTTCCCTAACCATCATTCCTGGAGAGTTACACCAGAACTAGACTACTTCCTCTGTGCTAAACTACCAAAGCATCTCCAGAGAGGTAACTGGATTAGAAGTCATCTACTCTAACCCCTCGACCACGGAGGCGATGTACAAGGTATAATAAACTAACCTGGTTATCATTCTTCAGTAGACTGCTCATGGCTGACCTGTACCTCATACCTTCTTCTTCAGCACACTCTATTGTCAGTCTATAATATACAAATTATCTTTTATTATATGAAATTAAATCATAGTTCTATTTCATTTTGTTCGAATTTAAATCACATCAGCTCTTAGAGTTAAGTTCATATGGCAACTTTTCATTCAGGTACAAACAGGTACATGAATATAATTATTTATGTTTCCCATTTGCTTAATAGATAGTTTCCCCCATATGAAAGAATCCAAAGCCCCTTGCTGGATCCAAAGTCCAAATCCACAGCAGTGTAGAGTAAATGTTTAAAAGTAAAGGACCTTAACTAATCAGCAATGGAATATATTATTATGTTGTTATATTTCAACCAATATTTCAACCAAAACAAAGTGTAAGGGACATAAAAACAAAGAGTAAGGGGCATGAATGATAAGGCCATCATGCATACTTACAATGCTGGTTTAAGATGAGCGGTCATGTCCAGTCGGAGTTGAGAAGTCTCGTAAGCCTGTGCCCTGTTCAGTTTTCCCTCCCGGTATTGTATAGACGGGTCATCAAGGCTTGTATAGCCGAGAATATAACCATTACAGTTAGTGTCATCTATCACATCTTCTGTTGGATGAGGGGTGAATGTTACAACCACATTTGCATGACCTTTAGCAGGTATTACCTGAAAATATAGGTAAACAATGGAAATATTAACTTAATAAATGTGTCGTCCTCTGAGGATTCTGCCTTCCAAAGGGAAAAATGTAAAGTAAATATGTTTTGTATAAGAAATTTAATCTCTAATTTACAGAGAAATCACTGACATATCAAATACTGTAAAATGATAATTAGGATATTTGTAGGACACTTATTTTTGTGATTTTCAATGTTAGGTTAATCCTGGATTTTCAAGAGCAAACAAAACAAAACTACCAAATTAAGTGAATTCATTGTACTTCCTAAATTGAAGAATTATTTCTAAGAGATTTAACAAGATTCAAATAACAATCGTTTTAAGGCCTCCGGCCCAAAATACATAGCATATATACAACAATTTGTAATATGGTTGCCTCATACCAACAAGAGCTGTCGGTAGGACAGCAACGCTCTACTATTCTTAGCGCTTGATAGTAAAAAAGAATGCTTGATAGAGTTACCTCCTCCTGTTTACAGGTTGGGGTCATGATGGTGAACAAGTGTGCAAAGTTTCAAAGCCATATGTCAATGGACTTTGAAAATATTTGAACTATTACAAAAACTTTAACGTAAATTCTAAGTCAAACAAGAGCTGTCGGTAGGACAGCAACGCTCGACTATTCTTAGTGCTTGATAGTAAAAAAAATGCTTGATAGAGTTACCTCCTCCTGTTTACAGGTTGGGGTCATGATGGTGAACAAGTGTGCAAAGTTTCAAAGCCATATGTCAATGGACTTTGCAAATATTTGAACTATTACAAAAACTTTAACGTAAATTCTAAGTCGAAAAAGGGGCATAATTCTGTCAAAATGCTTGATAGAGTTACCTCCTCCTGTTTACAGGTTGGGGTCATGATGTTGAACAAGTGTGCAAAGTTTCAAAGCCATATGTCAATGGACTTTGAAAATATTTGAACTATTACAAAAACTTTAACGTAAATTCTAAGTCGAAAAAGGGGCATAATTCTGTCAAAATGCTTGATACAGTTACCTCCTCTTGTCTACAGGTTGGGGTCATGATGGTAAACAAGTGTGCAAAGTTTCAAAGCCATATGTCAATGGACTTTGAAAATATTTAAACTATTACAAAAACTTTAACGTAAATTCTAAGTCGAAAAAGGGGCATAATTCTGTCAAAATGCTTGATAGAGTTACCTCCTCCTGTCTACAGGTTGGGGTCATGATGGTGAACAAGTGTGCAAAGTTTCAAAGCCATATGTCTATGGACTTTGAAAATATTTGAACTATTACAAAAACTTTAACGTAAATTCTAAGTCGAAAAAGGGGCATAATTCTGTCAAAATGCTTGATAGAGTTACCTCCTCCTGTTTACAGGTTGGGGTCATGATGGTGAACAAGTGTGCAAAGTTTCAAAGCCATATGTCAATGGACTTTGAAAATATTTGAACTATTACAAAAACTTTAACGTAAATTCTAAGTCGAAAAAGGGGCATAATTCTGTCAAAATGCTTGATAGAGTTACCTCCTCCTGTCTACAGGTTGGGGTCATGATGGTGAACAAGTGTGCAAAGTTTCAAAGCCATATGTCAATGGACTTTGAAAATATTTGAACTATTACAAAAACTTTAACATAAGTGGTTACGCCGACGCCGACGCTCGGGTGACTGCAATAGCTCTACTTATTCTTATCGAATAGTCGAGTTAAAAAGGGGCATAATTCTGTCAAAATGCTTGATAGAGTTACCTCCTCCTGTCTACAGATTGGGGTCATGATGGTGAATAAGTGTGCAAAGTTTCAAAGCCATATGTCAATGGACTTTGAAAATATTTGAACTATTACAAAAACTTTAACATAAGTGGTTACGCCGACGCCGACGCTCGGGTGACTACAATAGCTCTACTTATTCTTATCGCATCGTCGAGCTAAAAATGATTGCCTCATACCAAAAAGAATATATTTTTAATGACTATATAAATCATATAAATACCATTTGAGATGGTTTGATACTGTAGGGTGCAGGAGCCGGTTGTCCTACATGCTGTCTACAAAATACACTGACAACTTTCGGTCTGGAGTTCTCCTTTTCCTGTGTTGAATCAACACTTTCCTCCGTCTTACTGAACCCAGCTAGTGTGACTTCGCGACTTGTGTTCTGTGAGCTGTCCACAGAGTTTGGAATATAGTCTGTGGGTTCACGTATCACTGGCATAGGCACTGTAAATATAACAGTGATATAAACATCCTTATTCAATATTGTCTTCAAGTAACATCTGTGAATACACTTGATGATTTCAATGTTCAATACCAAAGTTCAGCCTCAAATTTCACACACTATTAATTTGCTGATCATAATACAATAAACACTTACAACATGTGAGAGTTTTTGGGATGATGTTTAGGACATTTAGGAGATAATTTTTTATATACTATTTTTCATCTTTTTCTTCTAACAAAAACAAGTGTGTCAGCGTAAATGCAACCATGGCCTCACTGAACAATTGCATGACCTTTGACCCAATGACCCAGAAAAGAATACAGATTTTTGTATCAGGGTTATTGTAACCATGACCTTTGCCCTACTGACCCCAAAATTATAACCAGTCTTCCAAAGCTTACATCTGACAATAACTTGAATTGGTTTCACAAAATTTAATGTATGTTATAATGAAATCAAATACAGTATTAGAAAGGGCAATTGTATGTGTCAAGGTCACTGTCACCCTGACCTTTATTCAATGTTACCAAAACAAATTGTGAAAGAGCCAATACATACATGTGTTTGTAATTCTTCAATTATGAATCATAATTATGCGGCTAAAAGAAGCTAATTCCGTTTACAACAATATCTACATTCATATTAACAATATCTAAATATAGAGCTACAATGTTATATAACTTGTTTTTAAAGCAGCACACCTACAGATAATGAAATTTTAAAACAACATTTTACTTGGTAAATAGTTTGTTAAGTGTACAGACAAAATCAATTTAGACTAGCTTATGACTTTTTTTATTTACAAGAATCTAAAAATAATATATGTATACAATTTTAGGCATTACATTGTATACAAAATTTGGGATTACATGTCCATTCTTAGAAACAAGGTAGAAATTTGATGATAATGATAGTAAATTTTGTCATACTTTCAAAAAACATGCATAAAAAGCAAAAACTCACCTGGATTATGAACAGATACAGTTAAGCATTTATTCAATTCATGGTCTATTTTATTTCTTCAGTTTGATTTTATTTACCGGTAATTAAATTCATTTACTTGTCTAGAGGCAGGCAGCTTTAAAGTTTGAGATATAATAGAACTCAATACATTATAATGGGGTAAGATTTATATATAAATAATGTTTAAAAAATGCTCTTGGTCTGGTTTAATTGCCAGATACTACACATTATTCCTATAAACCTTTAAGATTGTTCCAGATTGTAACATACTTACCATACAATCTCTATAGAGTTTACTAAAATCTCTTTCCTTTTCTAATGCTACAATTTTCTTCTTTACTATATTGCATTATTTGACAAATGTATCTAATTTCTAGATTATTATAGTAAATAAGCATAAAAATTGATTAAGATCTTGACCTTTTGATTTGTTTTCTGATTCAAAGCGCTTACTTCTGACATTGAATTAAAAAAAACACACTGTTGTGAAAAATGGATTGGTACCTAATAAAGTAATTTCTGCAAACAGTTTAATAAGATATCCAATTAAATATTTTTGCAACTGAATTTGAAAGAAACCCGTTTTTTGAAGTGTGAGTGGTCTGTGTAGTTGGAACATTTTATATAGGTAAACAAGTTATTATAAGTCAAAAAGCCAGTTTGTCACCTTAGTGCACTAATGGCATAAGTTTGTCCAAATTTAATTGGAGTTTACCAGTTATTGCACTAAGGTGACAAATTGTTTTTTCCCATTCAGTAACACTGTCTAAATGCAGGAATAATATGGTGCTGTGTAACACAAAAGCATTTGAAATTACAAACCCTTCATCCAGTGAGTAACAGGGACTTTGACACCAAAGAATCCCTGGTAAATGCACAGAGATTTACGTTATACCCCGTGCTATTTTGTGTGTGAAAACAATACATAAGCATTCAAAAAGCTGAGATATAACCCTTAATTTTTGTAAGTTTTCTCCCTTTATTTATAGCGATAAAATCTACAAAAAGTTTAAATGAATGTTTCTTTTTTCTTCTTTAAAAATGAAATATTGATTAAAATCAAGGGAGAGTACATTTTGAGAATTTACATAATACATAAATACTTGTATGTATATCTTCTAGAAAAAATGTGATACAGACTATTAAAGGAACTCCACTGAGGTTCAAAACCTTTAAAATACAAAATTTGAATTTCTTACATAGATTTGCTGGGGTACTTAAAACAGAAAGATATGCAAAAGATGATTAAGAAATAAAGTGAGAAATAAATTGAAAATCATATTTTTGTGCTATTCTCAGCTGTTTTGAAGTGGAAAGCTTTTCAACAGTTATCAATTTTTGGGTCATTTTTTACAATTAGAGTGATTATTCTGGAAAAACGGATTAAGCTAATGATCTGAAATTTTGAATACATGATATTGCTCTAGACCTACATCAAAATGTAATATTTATCTTGAAAAATAATTTTCCATTCCAATCATGTCAAAAATGAAACCTCTCAGTGGAGTCCCTTTAATTGGAGTTTTCAGTAAGAAGAAAGAAATCCACAAGAGGGAGTACTGTATTTTTTTATAGCCATTTGACAGTTGATAGACATGGTTATATGTCCAAGTATAGACAGCTGTATGCAAATATATAACTGATCAGTAATTAGCTAATAACCATTTATATAAGGCCATAAAACTTGTCAAAAAGTATGATAATTTGAATGAATTTATAATACTGTACACACAATACTGTCTTTGATTAAAACTGAAATACATTCATAAATTTGCTGCAGCTGTGCATCAGAATAAAATATATAGCCCAACTGTCTAATGAAATTTTACATAACAAAGCATGCAGGATTACACAAAACAGCTGAAAAGAAAAATTTCCATTTTAGGAAATGAGCAATCCTGTTTAATCAATGATGCTAGTCTTGGGTATGAATACATGCAACAAAATGAACTAATGGAAGGAATTGTATCATAATTTTTATGCAAGATGACAGAAAAAAATGGAGAAACAATCCTGCCAAAAAATATATGTCTGTTTCTTCTTTTTCCTTTTTTTCCCCCACGACCAAAGAATTTGACTGACCTTAAATTTGTTTGTTCACCAAAAAGACTACAACTTAAAATTTTTAAAATAAATATTAACTCTTAAAATAACTACCCTTTGTCACCAGTATAGAGCCAGGCCAGCCTACACATTGCACAGTGCAATCTGACATAATGACTCTATACTGTTGGCTGACCAGGTTGAAATTTTCATCTTGGTATTCCCCAAAATTGATAATGGAAAGTTCCAAAAATAGAGGCTGGGCAAGTCTATTGGAGGAATTCAACAGATTAAGGGTAAAAAAAAAGACATTACTGTCTTGAGACTCATTATTCATGTAGTTTTGCAAAAAGAAAATAACTCTTCAAACTTGTCTTTTATCAAGGAAACAGGAAACAGACATTTGTTATTTTGGCCTTACTGTATAGTGCTCCCATGCAATGAGCATTTGTACATGTATAACTACCCATGCATACAATAAATCATGCATTTATAACTTAAAGCATGCATATATCTTACCAATTTTCTGCGGTTTTGGGGCTAAATGAGAACACATATATATGTTACTTATTATACAAGAAAAAAAGAAAGAAAGAAAGATGAAAATGTTTGAAATGTCAATTAATCTAATCTAAAATACTAGGTGATAATGTCTAAAATCATAATTCTTCAGTAACAAAGATATTGTCAATTCAAAATTGACACAAATGGTCATTTGCCGAACATCATTGACCGTTGTGAATAGCTCACAGTACACTGTTTTCATGAAAGCTTAACAGTGATCAAATGCACTTTTCCAAAATAAAGTTACTGAAATACTTAGTTTGAAACAACACACTGAGAATAATTTTTTTCCAAAAGAAAATAAAAACTGAAGGCCAATTTAAATGATAATCATAGTTACTGTCCTCTAAGAAATATGACACAGTGTTCCATTTTGTACTTGTAAGGATACAAAATATGGAGGAAAAAAAAAAACATGTCAAATTTACATTAGCTTATGCTGAATGCATCAAATTAGTTGAAGAAAAAAATCAAATTAGTTGTAACATATTAACCTTCTGCCGGAGGAACAATTTCATTGCCTTCAGCATCCTTCAAAGGGAAGGGCTTCCCAAAACAAACCACCATGTCCATCAGTTTAGGATCTTCTTCTATAATATTATATACCTGCCAATCTACCCTGATATCTGCAAAAAATATATATAACAACCTGTGTAATTATTTGATTTACTTGCTTGTTATTATCTCTCGATACAAATGTCAATAAGATACATGTGTCAACATAATCAGAAATAAACAAACTAGTTTGTTAGTTAGTTAGGAGAAGAACCCAAATCTATCACATAGATTTCTAGCTTTAAAATTATGAAATTTGTATGGAAAAATGTTCAAAAAGTGTCCGGTTGATGGTTCCCTGACCAGAACATGTTATGTTTGAAAATGTTCTCTTCCTTAAATAGAGTACATTTGTGTAAATCTAAAAAACCAGGCCCACTTTCATTATTTTCAGCTACTCAATTTTCTTTTTTGAATATTTCTTTTTTATAACCTTTGGCTAGTTCACTTAATTTAATTATCTTTGACTTCACTTAATTTCATTATCTTTGGCTATTTCACTTCATTTTTGAATATATTCAGCTATTTCACTTGTTTTTGATAATCTGCTATTAACAACGTTTTTAATAGCTCAAACCTCTTCATTTAACTTTTAATTATCTTCAGCTTTTTCACTTTATTTTTTATTTCTCTGAAATTTCCCTTTAGCTATTTCACTCACCTTGTGGACTGTTGTTTTTCACCCTCATTGTCCGGTTGCAAGCAGCGGTACCAGCAACATGGGTACCAAACCTCACCATCGGTCTCATCTCTGGTATACCAGAGGTCATCTGGAAACTTAACGGGCAGCCAACAACTGTCATAGATACTGGGATCTTTGTCTCTTCTAGTTCACCAACCTAATTTACAACAACATCAACAACATCAGCTTGATTGTTTTGGTTGATAAAAAGAAAGATTATATACATTTTTTTGCAAATCTTACCATAACAGTATTTAAAGCCATTTCTTTAGTATCTGAACACTTAACCTGCTTTTAAAAACAGGTATACCCACCCAACTCACAGCATCATTTAAAGACTGATCAAATGGGTCTACCCTTTATTGGGATTTGAAATCAATTATGTAATTTATCAAATTGTAATGTCAATATCTTATCATATATCTGATTTAAGGTTAGATAATCATTTCATTTTAATATTGATTATTTTCTCCCATTTATGTTAAGTATATTTTATATATTCATAAAATGTACTAGTCTTTTTTTATTGGGATTTACGTTGCACAGACACATTAGATATAGACTTTCCAGCTTTACTGGTTAAGGAAGATCTCAGGTGCCTTCCAAGCATTATTTCAGGCACAAGTGGGCACTTGAGTAGAACTGCAGACATTATGTATGCTAGTTGAATAGCTTTTCCAAGTCCAAGGTGGGTCTTGAACCCACAACTATGAGAGGCAAGTGTTTGAAGTTAATGACCATAACCACTCTGTCATGGACACCCCTCCTGTTATAGTCAATTTCTGTGAATCTTAGAAATGTCCCAGGCATATATACAATTACAAGCTCTAGCAATGAAACAGTTACAAAGCAATACATTCTAGTTTGTTGAAGTACAAAATTGCCGTGAAAATAGTGACATGATAATTACTTTACAGATGATGTTATCATTGTACTCTCCCCACATGTCACTGAAAGCTGTCACCTCAATCACCTCTTCACTAAATGCTGACAGAATACCTGATGATGGAAGCGGTACAAATGCCGTGCCGTTACCTTGACTCAACATAGCTGTACATAAATCTGAAATAAAAATGGAAAATAAGGAAACATGAGAACAATACATGTATCATGTTGATCATCAGGGCGATGAAAAATTATCTTTATTTAGAATTAAAGCCAACAAGTATAGAGAGACTGGTGTACAAATACTGGTGTACAAATTCTAGTGTACAGGTACTAGTGTTCAGAGTCTGGTGTATAATGACTGGTCAAGCTGCACATATGTCTGTATATAGGTAAGACATTCAATGTTTTAGCAGCAAGTAAATATTCTAGACCAAAAATTGCCAAAGTTATATTAGCTTCATAGGGATATAATTTCTTAAAAATCATTTTTAACAATGCTACATACCAGCCTGGGCTTTAGTCTCAGTCTTGCTGAATGGGTCCGCAAGGTTTGGTGTCTTCCCAAGCATCAGTCTTCGTGTACTGTTTTTGTAATAAGATACAAAAAATAACAATCAATACATTATATAGGGTTTTATGGTTATAAAGTACTAATTAATTCAACATGGACTCCTAATACATGTTTTTGTTTGCAATTTTATTAGATAAAAGGCTATATAAAATGATATCCTATTGGCCATTTGAAAAAGGCATTTTGTAAGGGGTTTCTGTTTCAAGACAGGCTATGGTACAAGTTTGAATACACAGCTGAATTCTATTTACAGACCAGTATATAAAATTTAGCAAAAGTAGGCCTTTTAAAAAGGTAAATTTTCAATGTTAATGATCAAATATGACAACTACAATGAATAGCCTTTAACTGTGTAAGAGCCTTCTTTATTTCAAATTGATCTTTATTTAGCTTTCATCATTTTTCAGGAATGGTCTTTTTCAAAGACTACAATGTAACTTTAAATTAGTAAAGGTCTTTATACGGAGGTTGTCTTTCTGCAAAATTGGACGTAGCTAAAGGATTAGATATACTAAGTTATTCACATACCTGACAGTTCTTGTGAGTTCTCCTCTCTTTTGTTCTGGTGGTGTGGGTGGTTTAGAGAAGAAGCTCTCTATAGTGAAGGTATATGGTGTAGTGATGGCCGTGTTGTTGGAGAGATGTAAGTACATCTTTGGGGTCGTGCCAAGTGCAACTTCCTTTCCAAAATCTAGCCTTAACTCATCCAGATTTCTGTATATTAGATAAGAATACTTATTTATGCTATATCTTTTTCAAACTCCCACCTAACACAGGAAAAAAAGTCGAAAAAAAGACAGAAACCATTATTATTTACACATAACAAAATGTGCAGAAAATCAGCAATTGGAAGAGGAAGTATTTCCCTCTTTAAGAGAAGACTTCAAGAGTAACTTCAAATACAGGGATAAAATGTATTGAGAAATTGTACTTCAAGTAAAAATTGATACTGTTGCCATAAAGATGTTTTTGGTCTACATATATGGCTACTATGCAGAGGTTGCACTTTATGGGCAGAAGAATCGAGCACAATTTAAGTACTAAACTTTAAATTTTCAACAAGTCAAATTACCAAAGCACGGCTTATCAACCAAACATATAAAAATTCTGCTTTTCTGTCTGGAACAAATTGAATGAGTAATGCTTTATAAATGCTTTATAAAAGCAGTTCTACTCATTACACACTTGATGCTCCTAACAATCATTATACTGGCATGTAGTAATAGATATTGAGAATAAAACTTTAGAATTCTGAAAAAATGTTAAAACTTACAATTTTTCCCTGCCATCCTCAGATACCTGGTAGTGTACAGAAAGACCCTTACAGTCACAATATAGCGCTAGTATCAGAGGCTTGTCCACACCTTCCACTTTACATGGTATCCTTAGATCACTGAAGTCTCCCTGTAAAATAAAATTGTCCAGAATATTAAAATAATTCAAAGCATTCAATATCCTATGAGTAAAATAATAAAACAATAGTCTCTGACATACACAAGAGTACCACATAAGGTGTTAACGCTTGTCTGTTAAAAGTTAAAAAGGGTCATAACTCCATAAATATTGCTTTTAAAATTATGCTCCTTGTCTTACAGCTGCACCTTGTCATGAAAAGCAAGTATTCCAAGTTTCATGCTGATACCTTTTGAAATGCTTGAATTATGGGCTACATTAAAGTTTTTGCACAACAATGACATGAAAAACTGATGCCCCCACATTCCACTATTTTGATTTTATCAGTCTACACATGGACATTATGATAGCAGGACAGCCTGACAGACAGACCTGGTCAAACCTATTTGCTCTCCCCAACCCTCCCTAAATTAGGAGCATAAACATGTAAACCAAGATCATTATAACATGCATTTCAAAAGATTACCTCTCTGTAAGCAAGAAAGTTGATAGTTATTGGTTTTTCTTCTCTACCATTGAGCTCTCCAATCTTGGGGTCCATTTCTAAACTGCAGTCTTTAGCATCCTCTCCGCAAGGCTAAAACAGAGGAACAATAACATGAAACATAAACTGTAAAGCTATCAAATTGTAACATTCTAGACAAATATCGAGATTCTTAATAAAATGTAGTTTAACTTCATTTGATACTGACTGATTATTTTTTTCATACAAAGTACAATACACAATGTATTAAATTTTCCTAAAAATATACAAAATCTGCAGAGGTTACATCAGTTATATTGTTTGTTTTTTTCCTCTCACATAATTCAGACAGATTTCAAGCATGAATTGAATTAGAAAATTCCAAAAATTATTCAAAATTCTACCAATTTATCTGAGATACAGCTAATTCAACTCAGCATCTCAAAGTAATTCATCCAAATCCTCCAAAATTTATGAAAATTGTCTAGTTCAATTTAATTTTTCAAAAGCTTTTTTTTTCAAATATCTAGCAAATTTTCTTGGTATTCCTAGATAAATTGGCAATAAGAATGAAATGTTCCAGAACAAAATATTATTCAGCTATTTCAAGTAAAGTTTTAACTGTATAGCAGAGATTTCACACGTTTCTTGCAAGGAAATATACTAGCAAGTTTCTTTAATATTGTGGAATTACACTTTTACAAAATTCCAACAACAACCTTGCAAACTACAGCCAAAAGATAGCTTGATACACTTTAAACAATCTCTCTAAAAATTGAACAACAAAGATGAAGAACTTACATCTCCCCATTCAAACACAGTAGGAAGTAGAGTTTGGTTGAACAGCTTGGCTGTTGCCATCACTGGTACTCCAACATACACTCGTGGTAGTGTGACTTCACACTGGATGAGGCATGCCTGTACAGTCTGGACCTCCGCATAGCAGGCAATCTTACTGTAATTTACATAATATATCATAATATATAATAATAAAAATAATAATAACTTTATTCACTAAAGGTTACAAACATATGAGTGAAATAGTATAAACTGATTCATTTTACAAATAAATGCAAGTCAATGGCAACAAACAAGTACATATTTTACATGACAAGTCAGACATAAATTACGCTGTATGCTGAAAATTACTTATTTATAAATGTAATATTAAATGTTATATTACTGAATAATATCTATTTATAATACAAATGAAATATGTCAATAGTCTGATCTAGACAATCTGAAAGACAAAATTAAATAAATGTTCTTTTTGACATCATATTTGAACGCAGTGACTTAAGTTTAAATTTTTTATCTTAAACTACGGACGTCCTTCATAAGGTAAAGGAAACAGATAGCATTGAAGAACACACCTGTCTTGACCATCTTCCACCATAACTTCAATGACACGTCTAAAAGATTTAGCTGTCAGAGGATGGAATGTAACAGTGATTTCTCTAATCTCCAACGGCTTTAATTCACCCTCACTAGGCTCAAATGTGAACTCACTAAATCTCTGGGAAAAAAAATAAATCAAATAATATTTGCACTTCAAATATTGAGAAATAAATATGTCAGGGTTTCATAACAATAAATATTTTTATTTAATTTTACCCATGAAATATGGTGCTATATCAGTCAGATATATTTCATATTTTTTAAAAATAAATATGAAATATAAATATGAAAGTGGGCGGAGTCAAACCTCATATTTATTTTAAGGGACTTCTTTCGCCATTTTGTTTGAAAAATCTGATAAATACAAAACAACTTTTTCTTGAATATTGTTTTGAAAACTATCTAGCATGATAGAAAATGGTCTAACTAAGAAAATTAATCCGAACACCAATATCTTTAATTCAGTAATTAACGCTGTACAGACGTTTAAAGAGTTGTTTACATGACGTCACAATGTAGCGCCAAACAGCGCGTGCTTACGCATAAATTACTGCGCGCTGTACAATTGCAGTTGGTAGCAAGCAAGGGGATTCGTTACCATTTTCTTTGATAATGAAATTAAATAAAAAGGTTATTTTTTCGTTTTTTTGTGAAATATGGTATATATTTTCACTCAACATGATAAAATGCCACATATTTTCACTCGCCGTACCGGCTCGTGAAAATATGTGGCATTTTATCATGTTTCGTGAAAATAAATTCCATATTTCACGCAAACGAAAAAATATCCTCTTAATATTATTTGGTTATAAAAATTAAGAACTCTTGTATGTTTAGCATTCTAATGTACATGATTGTGAATGGATTTTGAACAGAAGTATTTGATTTTGTTATATAATTATTGCTTGAATTGTTAAAGATCCTACTAACCACACAGATACAAACATGTTTTAAAAGTCGTATCCATACAGCTACAAAAGAAGTTTAACAAAAACCTTACCATACTATCATCAACATCGTCATCATCAGGGGTCGAGGTGGCGGGACTGTCCCGTATATACCAAGGTGTAATAATTGAGGCCTTGTTATTTATAGTGATCTTTCTCTGTACAGTTTGTCCGAGTCGTACAAGACCAAAGTTCAAGTCAGGCTCATCAATTGACACTTCAGGACCCTACAATTTAATGTTAGCAAAGATATTGGATGAAATCAAACATAAAAATCTCTTTCAAATTATTCATCATGATTTCTGTACCTTGAATTTGGATTAGTCCTCATATTTTCCTAGCCACTATATTAGTATGGCAAACCCATATGACGTTTTAGTAAAGTACTTGGTAGAAAATTAAAAAAAAAAATAGCCCAAATTCAGGTAAATTTTGTGAATACCCTGTTGATTCTCGATGGATAAGCGCATAAACCAAAAGTCAAGTGGGTCCACCTGCCTGTATATAATTAAAATTATTTCATGCACTTTACTTCACAACACTGAATCTGAATTATGCACCTAATTCACCTAATTCATTGAAACAATTTGTTCAAATTATTCACCATGTAGTTTCCCACCTACCTTAAATTCTGCCTGTACTTGAAGATGCAAAGGTTCTTCCAGATTCATCACATGACAGTACAGGGTGTGGTCAATTTTTCCAGGTTCTGTCCCAGTGATAGACAATTCCATATCCATTGCCATTCCATGATCTATTTGATAAATAAGAGGATATTGAACAAGTGTTAGTTCTATACTGACATTATTGAATGAGCTGAATAAATTTCATTATGAACCTACATGAATATAATATTCTATTTATCACATACCAAAAATGCTATTTATCACATACCAAAAATAAGATCTGTTTTCTGTAACAAAAAACAAACTTTTTTTATTCTTTTATTTGGAACTGCTCATTATAGTATTTTAGGTATTTCATGTTGAAAATGTAAAGACAGTACAAAGTGTAGTCTGGGTTGGGTTTTAAGTCAGACTAACACTATAAAGGTCATAAAGAGACTGTCTATTTCTACTGGTACAGGAAGACCTCAGATGCCCCTCCATGCTTTTATTTCAGGCACAAGCTGGCACGTGAGTTGAACCACCAATGACTGTTGTATAGCTTCTTCGCATGAAAGAATTCAAAATCAGTAGCTTGACTCAAACCCAGATGACAGGCGAAAGGTTTGAATTCAAATACTTTAACCAACCTGCAAAAAATGCCCCACATTGTGGTTCAGACTGGCCTGGATTGGTAGCAAAGACAAGTCGTTATCATCTCTTTACATTTACATAATTAAAATCTCTATAAATAACTGTTTTTGTTCAATCTGGTTTATCATGAATATACAAATATTTACAACACATATTCATAATCTTTTCTATGTTTTTTTTATTAATTTCAATGTTAAGGCGATGTGTTTTTTTTCTACAAAAAAAGGAAATAAAAGAAAATATCTCACACTTGTATATTACTTTAGAGTTTCAAATATCCTATTTTACCCTAGATTTTTCCTATTCTTTAAAAAATTCATAAATATGGTTTTTGTATAGTATAAATAGTACATGTATAGTATAAACATACCTAGTTCTCCAAATGGAGGCTCAACTTCAAGAATGTATTTCTCTGTGTATGGTTCCCATTGGAATGTAATAGTCGAGTGGCTGTGATTTGCCATCTGTAATATAACAATTATACATGTACCATCTACTTTTGAAAATGTAAAAAAACCTGTAAATGAAATAATTGTCAGTCCATTATCTGTGAGCTTTTACATCACAAAGCCATTGTCAGGTCTAATAGATTGTCCATTCTTTCTATATATATATTGGGTTTTATTATATAATCTATAAATAGCTTTGAAATGCCTTTCCCTGATTGGCTAACAAGCAACTTTTTGTATAAAATAACAGGTCAATATCAGAGTATATTCACTGTTTTTTCCCTAAAAATAGATTTTCAGAGTATATTCACCGGTTTTTCTTCTAAAAATAGATTTTCTGGAAATCCCTAAAAGACGCGAGACTTTGACGTGACGTCACGCCAAGTTAGATGTTATTATTATGAAAAAACGTTGAGTAAGGTGTACATATGAGTCAAATTAGTCTATTTTAGGTTAATGTTTTGCATTTTTAAGAACAATAGGGATTAGCATGCCAATTGAAAGGGCCAAATTATGGAAACAGTAGACAAGCTGAAAAATAATGATTTCCGTCGTATGCAATGGCAGATGTGATAAGCCATATAAAAGCTATTTATAAATTATATAATAAAACAGATATGTACTTTTTAGCTGTTGAATATGATGTGATATGTACTGAAAAATTAATATTGACCTCGGCTATCGCCTCGGTCAATATCAATTTTTTCAGTACATATCACATCATATTCAACAGCTAAAAAGTCCATATTTGTATAATAAGTCATACAGGTCTTACAGTTATTTATTTGTATTGTTTTGTTGGGTTATAAGTGACACAGCCACTGTGTCCCTAGTCTCATAGTACATTCCATTATTTTACAGTTGGATGAAGACTACATACAACTCTAGGTATATTAATATCTCATGCCCATGCAGACAGTATATTAAACAACATTTTATATTTTTTTCTATCTATAAACTATAAAAGAGCAGTTGTTATAATTAACCATAACTCTAACACTAGGGATGTGTCTGAATCTTCAAGTTTTTTTTTTTAAGAAATGAAAGAAATTTCTTTTATAAGGCATTTTACACCAAAAGCTGTTAAACACTATGAAATTAACTACTAAGCCATTTAGACTACTATTCAAAATGATCACTCAATATCTCAAAGATGAGACTAGCCCACAGATATTTGTCAAGCCTCATTTGATTAGTGCTTTGTTACAAAATTATATTTCATATTTACTTACAGTGACCATTTTCTTCAGAGTTGTGCCAACTAAATTCTTGCCAGGTACATGCATGGAATAAGGGTGTAACACAACACTGAGTGGAGAACTTTCACCTTTGACCTCTATTTCAAGGGCTGTCAGGTCTGCAAATGGTGGCACTGTGAATATTCAAGAATAAAATGTGATTTAAGCAAAAAATTGTAACAAACTTGGATCAAGTTCACATTTTAAACTTACATTTTACACTTCACTCAAAATTGATTGTGACAAAGAATGTGCTGTTTATTTATATCATACTCTATCATGCTTATTTGACTAATAATTTTTGTTGTCATACTTCATTATGACAGCTGTGACCTAGTAGGGTTGAACCTTCCCAGACAGACTGCTAAAATACTAGACAACTTCCACTTTTAATATTTTAATATAGCCTTCATTTAGGAACAATCTCAGCATTTTTTTTGTTTAATTTTCCAAGGAATCAAATTCATTTGTTCATTCATTCATTGTTCTAAAAGAAACCCTATAAAGGTTGAATACATACTGTCACCTTAATGCAATAACAGGTCAATTCCTATTAAATTTATGAGGAGTTAACCTGTTACTGCACTAAGGTGATGATATAAACTATTGTTCATGAATTAACATAGGGAGCAAAGTGCCCTGTTCTAACTCTTAGCTTGCTGACTGGTATTGCTTCTCCCTGTGTGATCCTTGCCATCTGGTCAAGGTCCACACTCTATACTATTTAGCAAAAGTTTTATTATGAAATTTTCCTGGAAAACAACAAATGGTATTGTCTAGATTGAAAGACAGACAAGTTCATTTAAAATATTTAGCGTTGTAAGGGTTAAATATTGTACATACTGTCATTATGCGGCATGATTATATCCGAGACATCTTCTTCATCGCCCTCCTCTTTACGATCCTTATCATTGGCCGAGCTTCCCTTGCTGCTCATCTCCAGTGATGACGGGACCATGTTCAGTAGCAAATGTAGTACACTATGAAACTTGTCAACCTGAAAATGATTGGCATTTAGAGATGTAAACCTTTGTTAAATGCACTTGTCACATGTTTTTTTATTATGAAAAAAAAGATCAAGGGAAAGTAAAAAGTATAGTGCGACTGCTGACTACCTCTGTTCTAGTGCCATATGCCCCCATTTGCTAGTAGTAGTTTTGTTTTTTGTATTAAATCTGTTTGAAGTTCATGTCTTTTATAAAATCATTTATTAAAGATTTATATCTTAGAACATAATAGGGCAGCAAATAAAATGTAACATTTCTGTGATATAACATTCCATCTAAGGGGAGCGGTGGCCTCATGGTTAAGGTGTCTGCCTCTCAACCCAGAGATCATGGGTTCGAGCCCTACTCGGGTTACAACCATGTTTCTTCATATGACACCAGTACAGGTTGGTTCCAGGAAGCAGACTCGAAAGTGATTAAAATAAGTTGCAAGAACCTGTTTCGCAGTCGAGCTTAAATAAAAATGTTTAAACCAACATTCCAGAGATAAAATCACTTAGAACATCAACTGAGATTTAACATATATAACAGATATAACATTCAAACATAATATTTGAAATGATATATATCACACAAATTAGATGAGATATAACATTTATACATGTATATAAGACTTACTACAGGTGGAGCATAAGTTATCTTAAATTCCATGCTTTCTGCTGGTGGTAAGACGCCAGTTGGTGGATGTACACTAAAGACTGAATCTACGTCTGGTACCCGATCATACTTCTTACTGGCAGCATCGGAGCCCGGGCTATCAAACTGAGGTTTGTAAATCATCCATTGGAATGGAAGGCTTACATCTCTGCCAAAATAATTAAGCAATATTTAACCCATTACTTCATATACACGCCTTTTAACGCCTTTTTCACCCCCCCCCTTTTTGTTGTCTCAAATGATGAAAAAATGCCTTATTTAGGCCCCAAACACTTGTTTTTGTTTGAGAAATGTTGTTATAAAAAGTGACCTCTTTTTTGGCGCGGCCCCCCAACCAAAAGATACATCAGGGGGTTGCCAGAAGGGAGATGTGCCCCCTTCTGTTTGGGGGGTTTGAAGGGGGCGGAGTCCCCCTCATCGCCAAGAAAATTTTGGACTTGTGAGAGGCTGTAAATGACCCCAGATTGATCATAAGGTAACGTGTAACCAACGCTGAAAAGCATTTGACTCTATCTCAATCCATTGAGAAGTTGCAGCACTTTGAAATCAATTTTGATGGAAAAAATCAACGCAAAATAGTGATTTTTGGCAATTTTGAGATGTCCCCTCGTTGCCATGGTAACAGAAAATTTTAGCCTGAGCATGTTGTTGCAAGGGCAATGGTCCAGTCAACATTTGTGCCAAGTTTGATTAGTGTTGAAGCAGTTTTTATAGTGTTATCTGTATCTTTTGTTATGTGTTATCTTTTCAATGAAAACAGCCATTTTTCACAAAATGCTCATGAAGTAATGGGTTAAATTATAAATGATGTCAAATTATTTTTCTGTTTTTAAAATGACCTTAAATTTGTTATGACATGGCATAGTTAGAATGGTAAAAGGTGCCATATCTATCTGTGTACTTTATTTACACAGAATGTAGACACTTGAAATTTTGAACTACAGATTTACGTGCATTAATTGTGGAATACAAATTAATATTTATCAAAATAGTTAGGAAAACTAACTAATACATATATGACTCATCAACAGCTGAATATTTAATATTATGTCAGATAATGTTTTGTATAAGAACTGTAGCTTCATTACATATATTTCCATATATTATTGTACTATGACATATTAATTATTGTGATTCAGTGAAAAACAAAGTAAAAGTTATGAGTTCTATTTTACTTTTGTTGTTGATCGACAGTCTTTCTCTATTCCAAAAAAGCAATCAGAAAAACTTAAAACATGTAGTTTAAGAAATCACATACAAAACTTAGCCAGGTAAAACTTTGACAATACTCACGCTGTATTTTTAACGACAGCAATTCTGTCAGTGTAAGTGAATGGGTTCAACTGGTCAAACTTGATCAAGTGTTCAGCTGTGGAATCTACCAGCTCCCCTGGTGCTGCTTCCGACAAACCACGCTCAACTGACACCAGCTCAACGCTGGCCCTCTGTGCTTCACCTGTTTAGAAACATTTTTGATTTTACCTTTTTTTTTATTCAAAAATAAATATTAAAAAAACCCCAAAAAACAATCAATCAAATATTAATATGGTATTTAATCTTACCCTAAAGAATTATCAATCTTAAATTTCTTGTGACAACAATAAAGGACACATGCCAAAAGTATATAACTAGGTCCACCTTCCAGCTATATATATATAACAGTTTGACCTGAAGCTCTATACTGGTGAGTGTTCAATTCTATTATTTTCACTTCAATTCTGAAATCCATTTAAATACATAGTACTGTTCTTTGTGGACACTAAACAATTACATGACACAAATCAAGAACAGATTAAACAAATGTAAGAACTATAGACAAACTTACCTTTAAGAGTAAAGTGTCGGACATTACAGTTGTCACACACCATACACATGTCAATCTGGTAACTCTTCACGGACGGAGGCTGGAAAACTATCTCCATTACACCAGTCTGACCTGGTCCAATGTCAATCACGGATGGCCTAACATCAAATGGAGGAATAGAGACACTGCCGTTACGTACCACTGACTGGAAGGGAAAAACAAGAGCTGTCAGAAGGACAGCGCGCTCGACTTTTTTAGTGCTTGCCTATAAAACAAAACTTTGACAGTTAAGGGCACACAAGACTTTAACTAGGAATTTCTAAGTACAAATCAAGAAACATTTTCACAGAGTTATCTTCTCTTGCTTACAGATAGGTCTCATGATGGCAAATAAGAACTCCAACTTCCAAAGTAATATCTCAAATGGTTAAGTCAACAAGTGGACAAGAATGAAAATTTTAACTGAGTTTCTAAGTCAAAAAGGGCCATAATTCAAATAAAATCCTTGACAGAATTACCTTCTCCTGGACATGTTTGGGAATCATGATTGTAAACAAGTATTCCAACTTTCAAATTAATATCTCAAACAGTTCAGTCAAAAAGTGGACTGGTACTAAAAACTTAACCAAGATTCTAAGTCGATAAAAGGCCTTAATTTTTAAAACAAATCCTTGACAGAGTTACCTTCTCTTGCGTACAGATGGGGGTAATGATGTGAAATAGCATTAAAAGTTTCAAAGCAATATCTCAAAGGGTTAAGGCAATAAGTGGATTTTACCCATATTCAATGTATTTTCTAAGTCAAAAAGGGGCATAATTCTGTCAAAAACCTTGACAGAGTTATGTCCTCTTGTCTGTTGATGAAGGTCGTGATGGTAAACAAGTATGGTCAGTTTCAAAGCAATACCTCCAATGGTTTTGAAATAAAGTGAGGTGGTACAAAAAACTTAACCAAGCTCAATACACTTTCTAAGTCAAAAAAGGGCCATAATTCTGTCAAAAACCTTGACAGAGTTTATGTACTCTTGTCTGTAGATGGAGGTTATGATGGTGAACAAGTATGGTAAGTTTCAAAGCCATACTTGTAATACTTCTGAAATAAAGTGGGGTGGTACGAAAAACTTAACCAAGGTGTGACGCCGACGCCGACGCCGACGCCGGGGCGAGTAGGATAGCTCCCCTTTTCATAGAAAAGTCGAGCTAAAAATGAATTTTTAGGAATCAGTTACAACATCCTTACATTTTATTTTCTCCTTATGCTTATGTTGACTAACTATTTCAAATATATAACACAAATAAGAAGTCAATATTTGCTGAATCAGTATTATTTTTTCAGATTACCGAAATGTAAGATACATATATGTGTGTGTAGATAAAGAAATATTAGTTACTTGTAATAAATGATATAGAAGATCATTGTGGGCCTGATGTAAAACTTGAAGAGTGGTCAGACAGTCTAGTGGTTAAGGTGTCTGCCTCTAAACCTATGTATCAGGGGTTTGATCCCTACCAGAGTCATGACCATGTTTCTTGTTAAGGCACAATGACTGGTCAACTCAAGAATACAGACTCTTCAGTACTTGGTATATGCTTCTAAACTTTCTGCAACACAAAGCTAAAAATAAATATTGACTTTACTTGCAGCAAATTACCTTGAAGTTTGTGGTAGGCCAGGAACTACTAGGCATGATACAGAATCTGCCATAGCCACCTTCATTCTTGATTACATACTGGACAACATGACATCCACCGACCAAACAAAATCCAACATCTATCACTGGGGGAACTGAGAGACAAAAAAACCATCAGAAAATCAGAAAATATTAATATTGTGTTTGTTTATTTCTTTGTTTTAATGTGCTGGAACAAAAGTAGAACCATCAAGCTTTAGTAAGCAATTGCATAGCTTCCTCACATGAAAGAATTCAAAACAACCATGGTCAAGAAAGACAAATCAGCAAAATTAAAACACTAGCTAGGTTGCAGGTCACTATAGCAACATAATATTTTAAAAAAAAAAAACCAACCAGATGTAGAGGTTTTAGAACTTTTTTTCTGAAAGATTGTAGTTTTTAAAACATGTATACATTTCCTATCTATCAGGTGCCACAATGGTTAAGTAGCAAAAAGAGCTTACTTGTAAGTTTTGGGGGCGGTCTCCGACCAAGTAAAGGTACTATGATTGGCTCACTAGACTGGGTTTGAATCTTAATCTCATCATCAAAGTCTCTATGGGAGTCGGGGTTGAACCGTACCGCATAGTGACAACTCATCCCTGGGGCAACCAGCCCATGCTCTCCTGGGAACTGACCTACAGTATACAGAAAGCTATTTATCATATATTGTTTTTATCCACAAGCTAGTCAACTGCTTTATGTCAAAGGCTCACAGCTATGGTGAAAAAAGATAAAACAATAAAAAAATCTTTTATAGTTCAAATGGGGCACTTAACACTTTAATGATTTTTTTTCTTTTTTATATTATCATTTATCTTTCACTTTTAAATAGTATAAAGAGGAATATCAGTGGGATATAAATCATATCACACAGTGTTTGAAACTGACTGAGATTGAGATTTGGTTCCTGTTGAATACATTGAAAGATATAGCAAAGATAAAGGCTTGACAGATAAAGATTTCTATGCATCACCTGTCACATAAATTAGCATCCTTTGATGCCAATTTTGATGACCTTGTAAATTAAAGAAAAATTTGCTTCATTCTTGTTTATATGGAAAAATCTCACAACAAAGTGAGAATATTGTTCTATTTACATGTCTAAGAGAGATATACATGTATTCTCTATTCACTAAAACAAACTAGTATCCTCTATATACAGTATATCAGAAGCTTACCAAGTCCAACAGAGAAAAATGATGTTGTAGCTGGTAGAGCCCGGCACTGTCTGATACAAGATGACACATTCTTCAAGGTCAAGGTCAACTGTAATAGAAATTTCATATTTCAAAGTCTACTGAAGTTTTAGTTATACATTTTTAATGTCAAGTTTATATGACATTTAAGTTTAACATTCTTTAAGGTCAAGATCATATGACATTTAAGTTTAACATTCTTTAAGGTCAAGGTTAACTGTCATTTAGCTTTTTACATTGCCTAAGATTAAGGTCAGCTGTAATAAAAGTTATATATTCTCAAGATCAACTGATATTTCTTAAGGTCAAGGTCAAATAAGTTCTACATTCATCAAGGCTACGGTCAACTGAAATACAACTTTATTTCTTTAATTTTTGGAATAGGACTATTATCCCTCAAATGGGAGTACTTGTGTAAGTCTTAAAATACCTAATACCCTTGTAGAATGGTCCATAGTGAAAGCAGTCCTGAATGACTTTATAAAAAGTTGTCAAACCACAAAATAATATCTAAATATTTCCTTTATTTCCTAAAAACAATTTTATGGCTACTTTTTATTTATTATTGTTTGGCAAAATAGAGCAGGCAATTATTTTGTCAAAGTGGCAAGCAATTTTGCAGGCCTCTGGGGCTTACATAGAACACTAAGTGAAAAATGAAACTAGTTAGTACCTCATAAACTTGACCAATCTTGTAGTCTGTAAACACAACAGCTGGTGGAGATACCAGAAATACCTGGGACGGTTCCTTCGGTCTGTATCAACAGAAATTACAATATATTTACAATCTAACTTTCTGGTTGGAAGACAAATCTAACTTTCTGGTTGGAAGATAAAAATCAGAGCAAGGGTCAAATGTATACAAAATTCATGCAGATTTCAATTCATATTTGAGTTTAAGATTTTGACTCTAACCCCAATAAGACCATATGGCATTTCCAATCTTTACTTGTACAGAACCAAAACAAAAGTATACCGCAACTAGTGAGCATTTGGGAAGAAACTGCTAACACTTTTTAAACAAGCTCAACAGCTTAGTTTAACACAATTTTATATATGTACATTGACCAGAATTTTTAATCATAGAGGTGTTTTAAGATATAAGAGAAACCATACATCTTAAAAATAATTTTATAAAAATTAAAAATATGAATTCTAAAATAATATAAGGTATTTAAGGGTATAGTTTTTAACAGAAAAATACATTTTCTATTTGTATTTCATCAAGCATTTTGCAACATGTGAATTGAAAAAAAGGTGTATGAATAGACAAAAATTAAAACATACACAAGTTTTGATAAGATTTTTTATCTAACTTTTATACTTTATACTATTCAAAGAATAAAAAAGCTACTGTTTACACTTACTCTATTGTCTGTTCTTTTTGTGGCTGAATTCCAATTTCTTTGGCTCTGACCTTTTTGGACTTGATAAGTGATCGGCCACCGGTTGGGGCAGAGGGTGGAATAAATCTTGGATTTCTGGGATAGTTTGTTTTTGCATTTAGATTTTGTAAGCTAATTCGTTCTTGTTCTCGTTGTTCTTCATTCATTTGTTGTTTCCAGGCATCATTACGTGGAAACTGTGACTGCAAAATTAAGATTGATTAATATAAATTTGACTGGATTTGAAAAAACAACAACAACAAAACAAGACCTTGTAAGATCATATGGCAGCTTTATAACTTCACTAGTGAAATGACTGACTAGAAATACTTCTCTCTGTTTAATGCAAAACCTGCAAAATTTCAGGCACAATAAAGCACACTGGTAGAGGGTTGTCATAAGGAGGCGGCTGTAGGTAAAAAATAACCACCTCAAAAGGGAACATCTCCATAAAATTTTTAAGATAATCCTCAGATTCTACAATCTCCAATTAGCTATGAATAAGTCATACTGTAAAATAAAAGCAGATATAAAGGCGAAAGTTTGCAAATGTTAAGGTCTCCCAATTAAACAATCATTGCAATAAGCCTTACTGGTGTCAAATCCAATTTACTCATATAACACCAGTACTGGTTTAATTTTGGGAAGCAAACTCATGATTAGTTCAAATGAAAGTCATGCTTACAACAAAATCAGGCTAAAATAAATATGTTTAAACTGAAGAATTTTTTTTTTAACTTTCAGTTTCAGGCTATCATTTGTAATATAACATTATGAAAGACACAAGAAAGGGCCTTGGTAGAACTAAAGAATTGCAAGGAACTATAGGACTGGAAATTTTACAACTTTGCCTGAAATTTGTTTAGCTTGTCAGTCTGAATATCAGGACTATAATAAAGTTGTTTATAACAATAAATTTTACCAGGAATGCCTGATCTTTTTTCCCTGTGTCAAGAGGTTCCTCGGAGACCAGACTTCCTATGTCAGATTTACTTCTCTGTGGAGAGAGAGGTGGTGATACTGGTGGCATGTATAAATCATCTCTAGTATGCTGGCGTGATGCTAGTGTATCTCGTGCATAACTTGGTACCTTCTCAGCTGTAAATATATATACATATAAATCTCCTTACAATACATGTATTTGTTTTGTTTGATAATATTTTTATTTTGTTTTAATATTCAGGTTTAAAATCATAGCGAAACTTAAAAGGTCATATGCTGACTTTCAAGAAGACCTTAGGTCTTATCTATGTGCATTATTTCAACGGCAAAGAGACACAGAACAACTGAACTTAATCGAGTTGAAATAATCACAATGAAGATGTAAATGTCTTAAAACTATTACTTTCAAATTAATGTAGGTGCAGGCAGACCATGGACTCGCCTTCCAGAGTGACTTGACTGGTATATGAATTGATAATCTATGATGTTATATACAAACCTGCCGGAGGTGGGACTGGGTTGGGCTCTTCAGTGGCATAATCCGAGGGTGTTAGTAACTGATGTTTCTGAAGTAACTGGGTATCTAAACACGTACGAAAATGAGACTGAACTGAAAAAGAAAAATTAACAAAAATCAGTCTATAATCTTCTAAATTTGATGGTAGAACTATGGAAGCTGACCTGACTCTATACTGATATCATATAGCAAAATTGTTAATTGTTGCTAGCTCTCCATAGATTGAGCAAATGATATAAAATCAGTCAAAACCTGAAAACATTCTACTTGAATTAACCATTGTTGTTAAATGTATGTATACAATATAGAACGTATTTGACTTTTAATTTCAAAATTTTCCCAACTTGTCAATTCTTACAAGTTACAACACACATCAGATACATTTTCTGGACCTTGACTGTTTCAACTTATTCAAGGTGGGTAGATACCATGCTCCATGATGTCAAGTGTCGTAACAACATAACAATAACTAAGTGCATAACTTATCAATGGAAAAAAATAATTGTTAATACCTCATACCATAAACCATGACAAAATTGGTATTTCTTCAGAAACGTCATTTCAGATCACACACATACATTACACATTTTTTTTTCAGTTTGGCTTTTTTCATGTGACACATGATAGAAAACTATGTTTTCAGGTATAATTTGAGCCGTGTCATGACAAAACCAACATAATGGGTTTGCGACCAGCATGGATCCAGACCAGCCTGCGCATCCGCGCAGTCTGATCAGGATCCATGCTGTTCACTTACAAACCCTATAACAAGTAGAGAAACTGATAGCGAACAGCATGGATCCTGATCAGACTGCGGGGATGCGCAGGCTGGTCTGGATCCATGCTGGTCGCAAACGCATTATGTTGGTTTTGTCATGATAAGGCTAATTTTATAAAATAAAAGTCCATTTGATGTAACCACTCATGTCAGGTCTTTTATTTCAACAATTTGAAGGATTTCTATGTACATGAATTAAATATTTAAGGATAAATAATAAAAATGATTAATTAAAAGTAAAAACAAATCCACCACCAAACATTCATTCAACCATGCCTTGCAAAAACATAGGAAAATCAATAATGACAACAAAAACATTTTCTGCATAAAAGACTTCATGAAAACACACTTACTACTTTAATCATTCTATCCTTCACCTCAATTACTGACAAAAGAGCGACATTTTTTAATTGCAGCTTACTATTTTCAGCAAAATACAAAGATTAACAAACTGGGCTTTTTTACTCTTTATAACACTTGAATTTATGAATAAAAAAATACTTTTACAGCCTAGATTATTTTCAACTTAATCTTTTGGAAAAAAATCTTAAAAATTTGCGGAATTGAAAAAATGACTTATTGCAACAGTTATATTCAGATTAAAGGAAATTGCATGTGTGTGTGTGTGTGTGTGCGCATAATTTACCTTCTCCAATCGGACCTAATAATACAGTTAAAATGCTGGATGAAAGTTGGAGGTACATATATTTCATTAGATTTGAATCATTTGATTAATGCAATACCCAATACATTGTGAATTTCTAAATTACATAATGAAAGAAGATCAGAAATATAGCCCTGTAAATCTAGATACATTAGTAGAAACCACTGACCTTACATATGCAATGTTACGTATATTACCTCTCTTACAAAAGAATACAATAAACCCAAGAATAGGGAAACCAAACAGAAGCAATGTGCATGAACATATACAGTGTTATTCATAAATTTCAATCCATTTCAATGCTTAATTTCTTACACTTTAGAGGGGCATGTCCATCTTTCAATATGCACAAACCATTCATCATTTTTAAGGAAATTTTTTTAAACTATTTACAGACTGAACAGTGAACAATGCAGACCATGAACAGACATCACCAATGTACTGGCTGGGATTCATACCTAATAAAAATACCATGAGTTTTGTCTTTAACCTATAATTAAAGTGAGAAATGAAGATATACCTGGAGGAAGACCAAGATGCTTATAATTATCGCAGCTCTGTGCAACCTTGTTCAATGCTCGCTCATCAGCTGACATGGCTCGAGCTTGGGCCTGCATGATATGTCGTTCCAACATGGCTGCCTCTTCCATTCTTCTCTGGCGCTCATTAAACACCTAGATTTAAATAGTTTTCATTGTTCAGTTTTGATTAATATGCATGCCTATGAAGCTTTGTAAAATATGGTACATTGTAAATTTAAATTCATAGAAGGGTTCAGCACAATATGGCTTTACACTGTCCTTAAAATCTATTGAGTTTTAAAGGTTGTTTTTTCAGTGTTCTTAAAAGACATGTATAAGTTTGTTTTTCAACTATTTACAATTTCTCAAATTTGCCAAAAAAAGCAGAGTAATTATTTACCCAATTTATGGTGGAGACATTTTCCGACACTTAGCTGGAAAAGATTATAAATCATGACATTAAGAAACACATACCTTCTGTAATGCTTCCACATATCTCTCATGATAAGGATCGGCACCACCTTTAGATACTGACAGATTCTTCACTGTATCTGGAGCAATAGCATCTCTTGTGAACAACTCTCTAAATGTTCTTACAAGAATGTGGCGAACATCTTGTGATTTGCCAGTGGATGGTCTCTGCAAGTACATAGAGGGCTCATCCCCTCTTGCTTGTGGAACGCCAGGCATTTTACTGTTTTTCTGTCAATAAACAAAAAGTTCATTTATGAATGAGGCTATTATTTATTTCTGAAAGTCAATATCACTGTTATAATTCATAATATTTACCTCTTGTAAATACTTTTAGCCCTATAGAATTATATTAAACTTTCATATGCCTGCATCTTTTATTATGAAAGGAATTGTCAAATCAAATGCTACACTGACTGTAAATGTTCAGAAGTATTTCATTGTCCTAAAGTCTTTGATAGCTGGAAGATCAAAGCCTTTGGTTTGAAAAAAAAATGAGAATCACTGATTTAGAGGAAAAAGTAGTATTACTTGACTATGAAGAAAACAGGGGTATAAATTACAATGTTTTAAGGATTAAGGACTGACACAGACTTTTTTGAATTTTAAAACAATGCTAACAGATGATACATGTATATAACACTGACAGAGTGTAAGTGTGGGCACACATTGTAGCGGCCATGCTGTTTATCAGTATTGACCGATATGCTAAACCAGCAACTTCAATTTCTTTTGAAAGTCATGATATATAAAGTATGAAGAGATTATATATATTGTTCATTAGTACTTGTAGAAACTGATGTTAATATAGGATTTTCCTGCTGATACCACATTCAGAAGCACCATGGTAATCTGAACTTGTGCTAATTTGCTTACTCAGTGCAACCCATAATAAACCTGGCAGATTGCCCTTAATTTTATTGTCATAGAACCATAATATCACAGGGAAGTCAATTTAGGCCACAAGGCTTTGGATTACCTGGCTATACTGACTACATATGTACATTTATAATATGGAATTCAAATAAAAAAAAATAATATACCAGGTTTCTACTCTATCAGTGAAATTTTCAGTGTCATATCTAGTTGGGCTCTCCCACTTCAATGTGACTCAATAATAATATAGGTCGCGTATTCCAAAAATGGAATAATCACAACTTTTCGACTTAATATGCGGAGGGCTGTAGCGCTCTTAGATAACATGTATGACGCGTATCGATTCAAAAGAAATCAAATTTAAAGTAAATGAAAATTTCAAAAGAAAAAAATATATCCTATACCTAATGAGCTGTGAAAAAATCCTTAGTTAACTGGGCGCCGCCATTTTGAAATCCTTTTGAGCTAAATATAGATATCAGAGCGCTTTAATGAGCGTCTACATAATTTAGACTATTGCTAGCGTCTGCAAGTAACACTTCCGGTGAGAGAATGATGTGCAAAATCAGAAAGTAAACATGCATTTCATTGATAAGAACTATAGTAACGATTATAAATATAAAAAGTTACTTAAACATATCCTTTTTGATAAAATAGCACATTAAAATAACGTTAAAACAACAACTGCGGTTAGAGATTAATAAAAAATGGCGGACGGGATTCCCCCTTTACGTTCGGAGATTTTTGGAATATTCCGAGCGCTCCGATTATAGGTTGAACACCACCAATTTATTTGTTTTGTTTAAATTACAAAATACCTGCAAGATAGATCTGGTTTACATGTACACTCAACATGTTATGCTCAAATCATAGTTCATAAGAACTTTCCGCGCCATAGGTAGCACCTTTTAAATTTCATATTAATAATCGTCATAGTATTTCGAATGAAAACTGATGCAGTGCATGAAATACCAAATGACACCTTTACGAAGGAAAATGTAAAATAAAAATGAATGATTATTTTAACCGACTTCCCCGTTTATAGGCTATAATGCCTTATTTCATATTAATAATTGTTGAGGTGTTCCAAGTGAAAATCGAAGTGGTCCATGAAATACTGAATGATACATTTACAACGGAAAATGTAAAATAAAAAATGAACTTTTACTGATCAAGTCAACCCATCTAACCAAGATACAAGAAACTTTATTTAAAGTCAGTTTACAACCAAATTTCCTGGATAATAATAAGAAACCGGTAGAGGATTTTATTTTGTCTGCTGTTAAAATCTTTCTTTCATTTAAGGGTCTTTGTATGGTGTTGCAAAATATTAAATAGCTGCACAGTACACTCATGCATAAAACAACATTATTTCAAACAAAATACATGTAGGAATTCCACTTAAAATTTGTGTTAAAATGACAGGTGCTTGTTACAAAATTTCACCAAAGTTAACACTGGTAAAGTATATGGAAAATTCCGTAACAAATTATCAAAATCATATTAAAAAAAAGTGTCAATGTATCTCCAATAATTTGAAAAGATCATTATTGTTTCAAGAATCAGCAAACCGAGACCAAGGGCGAAAGGTATCTGACGCGAATCTGGCATAAATCTCGAGTATCAGAGCTATTTCTTACGAAATAAAATGCTTGTTAGCTAACTTTTTTTTTAGCAACAAAATGTTTGTAAGGATTTAAATAAAATTCGAGAAAATACAAAAAAGAATGTCATGTATGCTTTACTTTTGTTTTTCGAGTAATTTCAACAAAAATACAGAAAAAACATTGTTTACATCGTCGTCAGGTAGCTCTTCTTATCTCCTCATTGAAGAGTCTGTGTTTGATTTTATTTATTTTTTTATTTGTATGATTCTATTAATCGAACTAATGTAGCAAAATGGATTGACAGTATATAATTTTCTTTGTGACATTATATGAACCTAGAATTTTCAATGTTTATTGAGAAAATATATTTTAAACAATCCTGGTGCATTCCAATGGCTCACACGGAGACATAAATATAGATAGTTTTGGGACACGGGACACACCTTTCAATATATTTCAATCAAACACCCCTTTACCTGTGCAGAAGCTGCATTTTAATGGTTGTTGATAAAATTTCCTTACTAGAAATATTATTATTAGAAATTGTTATAGTTGATTGAAACCTTAAAATTCGCGGTTAAGTACCACAGTTTTCGTTGTATAGTTAATGCACTATGAGGTCATACAAAGGTCAGATGTGTCTCTTTGAAAGGGTCTCTGAAGACGTTTCACTCCCAAAATGGTTCACACCTGGATATCTCATTCTGATAAAAACTTGTGTAGCTGTGTAGCATTATCTGCATTTATCTTTTTGTTCTAATTTGGTGGCCAGGCCATTGTAATTAAAGGGGTTTCAATATTTTGGTGAAAATATAAAAAGCTGACAGTATTGACAGTAGAATCAAAGCTGCAGATGCCAGCTAGATTAGCCTTACTCTGTACTGAAGCTATGGTACAAGTTTGACTGATACTTATTGGAATGCCAGATGTTTCACTACCAAGACATTTCACTGTGGACTTTTCACACCCAAGACGGTTCACACCTAGATGTTTCACCTCCCATTTTGTAATTGTATGGACGTTTCACTCCCATTAATTTATTTTTATTAAATTTAAGGTATATTTTAGTATATCACAAGTATCAGAATAATTTTGGCATAAAAAAAGGAGTGAGACGTCTTGGTGTGAACTGTCTTGGTGTGAACCGTCCCAATAGTGACTGAAATGTCTGTCTACCTTTTTGTTCTGGGTCAGAATCTCGCTTTTAGGGGAGATATATTATAATTGCCCAAGCACAAGATAGCACAATTATGAAGTACAATAAGTTGGACTTTGAAGCTAGTTATCAGAGTTAAAATTTAAGGGTAGTCAGACTATTCTCCCCCTTATCAGTTTCTTTCCAATGTTTCCCTCCTATTTTGGGGGGAGACTGTCTGTTCCTGCCCCTAATAGATTAATACTGATTGGTTAATATGTTTTATGATTCATATAGAATTGGAAAAAGAGATTCTTTTTAGGAGATAACAACACAAAAGTCACAATAACATTAAGAGTTAATAATTCTGAATACTTTATGTTAAATAAATGTTAGGTTTCATTTTATTTAAATAAACTGTAAATATTGTACAATTTATTGTTTATATGTTTGATATTCATATTTGTACCAAAAGTTAATATTTGGTGGCATACCAGAACACCAGGTTTATATATTAATATATATTTATCAGACCAGAACATAACTTTTACCACTCATCTAGCTATTTAAAAAAATGATTGGAGTTGATTACTATATCCCTACACCTTAATTATAATTACAGGTGCTAAATCAATTAATCACTACCCACAACCATAAACTTTTTCAATGAAGGTGTTGATTGGATTAGAATACATGTGCATTGTGTATCTGAAAAAACTTGTTAAAAGTTTCTAAAGATACTGTTTTTGAGAGAAAAAGTTTGAGGGAAAATGGTCAGGATGATGATCTGTTAAGGTGGAGAATAGTTTGTTAGTCAAATCTGGGACTTATAATGTAACAATCTGTCCCAGTTCATATTTAAGCCTCATCCACTTGCATATTTTTCATTCTAACATTGATTTCAATCTCCTTCCTACAATGTAAGTTATTATTCTCATGCTTTATTTTTTATCTTTTTCAGGGAAAGTTGTTATTCAGAAAACTTGAAAACAGAGCTTCTACATGTACCTTGAAAAGAAAATTTGGTATTGATAAATTGCAAAGACAAATACATGTAAACTACATTAGTCAAATACAGACTTGTGAAGAACTAGCAAGTATATAAATTGCTTGTTTATTTACAAAGAAATGAGACAAATACTTTAATTCAAGTGAGTCATCGATGGAGGAAAATACTGACATTGGGATATTAGATTTACCACCGGATGTTGTTGTTCACATTTTTAAATTCATCAATCATAAAGATTTGTTATTTTCAGTAAAAAACACATGCCAACAATGGGATCAGCTTAGTAAGTCAAAGTCACTTTGGAAAACTCTAAATGCTGCAGATTTCCCAGACTATGCCTTTACTACAAAGTTATTCCTGGAGTTATTACGAGATGTTTGTGAGTCTATAGAATCATTGTACTTTGATCTTACTCATCATAATCAGAAGATTATCAAGCATGAAGGAATATTATGTTCAAATCTTAAAGAGATTTGTATTGGACAGTACAGAAATAGCCTGTGCGATGTTATCCCAACACCTGAATTTAATAACTGTTTGTTGAGGCTTTCAGAAAAATATCCCAATCTTACAAAGCTACACATAGTAAACCAGGTTCTAATATATGAAGACATTTTCAACAATCTAGAGGTTTTTGTATTTGAAAGTTATGAGAGGTCAGAAGACAGAATTGAAGTCTCAGAATTTCTTCAACAGCATGAGAAGTTAAGGCATATTACATTGAGAGGATGCATTTTATCAGTTGCCACAGTTACAAAACTGTTGACAGGATACAGTGATTTGGAAACTTTAGATTTATGTGAATCAGTGCTTGTGCAGGATGACTTGAATCATGTGTTAAACATTGAAGATATGAAAATTGAAAGTTTGCGAACATTAAACCTTAATGGAACAGATCTTGTAGATGGACTTCTACAGAAAATAGCCAAAAAATCAAAATGCTTAGAGTACCTGAATGTAGCTAAATGTCCAAGGATTACAAATTCAGCTATTGAAATGGTAGCAAAATACAGTGACAAGCTAAAGACCCTGATTATCAATGATGAAGGAGGAAATTATTCTGAAGGTGGGTTTTGTGATGTCACAGGGGCGGGGTTGGAAAGGATTGCAGAAAACTGCCATAATTTGACTGTTCTAAAGATAAATGACTGTCCAGAAGTGGGTGATAATAGTGTGGCTGCTATCATAAAAGGTTGTCCTGAACTTGAAGAGTTTGAAGTGTCTGGTTGTTTGTCCCTACAAGATGTGACTGTTCTTTCACTGGTAAAAAACTGTCCTAAAATTAGACGTCTGAATCTAGGGAATTGTCCTCAACTCACTGGGAAATCTGTCAGTTCAGTTTTAAGATGTTGTAAAAGTCTAAAAGATTTGGATATTGAAACTTGTAATAGAGTGACTGATCTTGATTTAGTTGACACTGAAGCTTGTAGAACTTTTGCACAAATTAATGAAATTGATAAAGACACAGGAAAGGAAGTAGCAAAGGCTGAAGCAGTTCTTGGTGTGCTTATACTTGATGCTGTTGAAGAAATAAACGATTCAAAGGACAAGCTGTATGATGAAATGACAGGAAATGCTAGGGATATGATGCTAGAGGAAAAAATGTCAGATGGTAGTCAAAATAATGATAAGTCAGACAAATCTTGTTTAAATAGTGATGTGAATGAGAAAAGAAGTTCCATTTTGTCAGATGGTTCTGATGCAAAGTTAATATGTAAACTTGACCAATCTATGCAATATCTCGAGTTTCTTAGCAACTGTTGTCATGTTAGTGTTTTAAACTTGAGCTTTTGTTCGGGAATTACAAACAGCTGTATAAAACAGCTTGCCTGGCATTGTCCTGATTTGCGAGAGCTTAACATAGCTGCATGTTACATGGTAACAAATGCAGGTGTCAAAGAACTGGTTCAGTGTTGCAAGTTTCTCCGGCATCTCAACATTTCCGGTGGAGCGGTCACTCAGACAAGTCGGCTAACAGACGATTGCCTGTCGGATATTGTAAAACATGGCAAAAATCTCAAAGAGCTGATAGTTCAGAAAAACTACAACATAAGTGCCGATGGCGTGCTAAACATTGTCCAGAACTGTGAGGAAATTGGGTTAATTTGTGTTGAGGCAAGTCAAAGGTCAAACCTCAGCAAGGACATGTTGATTGATGTAATGGGCCTGGTAAAACATAAAACAACCTGCTTACAAATCAAAGCCGACATACAGATAGAAATTAAGGTGTTGAAAGATGCAGAATTTGATATAGGCAAAAGATACTAGTTAGATAGGAATAGTAGCAGTGATTCAAAAGATAAAAGTTATTAGATAATATTGTTTTACCTCAAGTATCTATTAATATATTTGCTTGTTGAATTGTAGCTTGTATTTATCTTTAAGTTTTGAACTGACACTGCTTGATTTGTTTTTTTGCTGTTGTTAATGAGATAGATTTAAATTTGCTGTCTTACACTGATTGTTTGGTCAGCCTTGAAATAAAGGTTCAACAGACTATAAAAAATTCTCCACAGGTTAATAGATTTACAGTTAATACAGGACTTGCTCCAAAGAAAATACTAGCTTTTTAAAGTTTTGCACTTTTCTCCTGCTATGATTTTATGAAACCTTTTATTTTGTTAAGATTGATGTAGAATTAGAACAATTTATGATTAGGGATAATAATATAAGTCACAAATGAAGCATTACAACTGTTAGGTCACACATATGTCATGGTAACTGCCAATTTTTCAAACCAATTGCCCCTCACTGCTGTGGGTTCGAATCTTGTCAGGGACTTTGGATTCATTTGTTTAAGTGAGGAAGCCATCCAGCTAGCTTACGGAACTTTGGTGGTTCTACTCTGGTGGCCGTTCCTGCCTTAAATAATGCATGGAAGGGCACCTGAGATCTTCCTCAACTACTGAGTAGAGCTGGCAAGTTGCTGTATGACCTATACTGTGTTGGTGCTATGTTAAACCCCAACCAAAAAAACCCCACAACCAACCAATACATTTAGTGTTGAAGATTAGCTGTTGCTATGAGATGCTAGAGATGTATGAACAAACTCATTTAAACCAAGTCTGAAATTTCCATCCTTTGTTCAACTGCTTTCAAATTTGAAAGGCTCTCCTCATTTCCAGATTTTCTGTTGCCTGCTACAGAGTGTGATCTATTCTGTATGCTTGCAAAAATTGTGACAAAATATAAACACGTTTTTGTAAAAAAAAATGCTTTAAGAGAAATGGGAAAAATTTGAGCACTATAATGGAACGTTATTTATATTTACCTGGAAAATAGACAGTATATCGAGGCTTCACTACAAAACTGCAGTAACTTGTATGAAATAAAGGACTTACAACAGTCTTACGGTCAACCCACGATATGTAAATTATTAGTCCCCTACCGGTTTAACCGGAGGGGACTTTAGGTTTACCCTCCGTCCGTCTGTCTGTCTGTCCGTCTGTCTGTCTGTCAGTCCGTCAGTCCGTCCGTCCACAAAACTGGATCCCGCGATAACGCAAAAAGTACTGAAAATATTTTTATGAAACTTGATATATGGATAGATGGCAGTATGGAGATTATGCACGTCTTTTTTTTTTCTTCCTATGTTGAAAATTCTGGTTGCTATGGCAACAAATAGTCTGAAAATATGGCAAATTTAACACATAAACTGGATCCAGTGATAACTCAAAAAGTACTGAAAATATTTTTATGAAACTTGAAATATGGGTAGATGGCAGTCTGGAGATTATGCACATCTTTTTCTTTTCTTCCTATGTTGAAAATTCTGGTTGCTATGGCAACAAATAGCCTGAATTTCAAGATTTCTGATTTAAATTTTTCAGCTTTTTCACTATATGTTCTTTATTTCTTAAGGTGTTTACTTCAAACTTTAAATATAAGTTCCTGGTCATCAACCACATCATATGTGACAAGGTTTATAACTCTAGCACAAAAAATATCAATATTACCTCCCTTGAACTTAGATTTTTTATGAAAAAAAAAGTTGTCTTTTTTAAATAACTTCTTTATTTCCTAATGTATCTACTTCAAACTTCATATATATGTTTCTTATTATCACTCGACATTTTTGAGAAGGTTAAATACTCTAGCAAGACTATTTCCAGAATTATGTCCCCCTTGAACTTAGATTTTTTTTGAGAAACTGGTATTTTCACTCCAACTTCTTCATTCCTTATAGGATTTACTTTAAAATCCCACATCGTAATAATATGACAAGGTTGTATAAACATAATTTCCTTACTAAGCATGGAAACTTAACACATTACTGTGATATATACAAACTTATTTTATTATGTTTTGTGGTCGATATTTTCAAATACAGACTTCATCCTCAAATTCATTATAAATGGCAATACACAGGAGTGTATGACAATTAAAGAACTTTTTGAGGGACCGGTAGGGGACTACTGTATTGCCCGCAATACTATCAAATGCTTGTTAAAATATTGAAAGATATAAATAACTGTGGAGCCCCCATTAGCGATGACCAAATGTTAATTTCCCACCCTGATAAAGGGAAGATTTGGATGATGACACAGATGTAGACATATTATAATATATTTGAAAGAGACATATCTATATTTAAGTTTAAATAGTGTAAATTTTCATATACATGTAATGTATATCTATATATGTAATATTTTGTTTATTATTTTGTATATTATATAGAGCTTATTGTCATAGTTTATTTTTACTACAGTCCATAGTGAAAAAATTTATGCTTAAAGTGTTTTATCCAAAAGTTGAATTTATGAGTAGAGTTTTATAGAAGCGACCTTATTTGTCAGTTACAAATGTAGTACATAATTTTATATGTCCGTCCATTTACAATCTTGTAATGAAAAAAAGATATAAAAAAACAGCAAGAAAAAACCCTATCTTGTTATGGCTTCATTTTCAGAATTCCCAATAGGCAATGAAAAATCTTTCAAGAATTGAAATACAACAATGTAATTTGTTTGTTTCTAATTCTTGTCATGCATAGTGTCAGCAAAATGTACCTCAGAAGATTTATTACAACGTTTTGCCCCTTGTTTTTTAAAAACAAGTTTTTGTTTGGTTGTTTTGGTTTTTACTTTTTTTCAAAGGAATAAAAAAACTGGTTATAAAATTGTTATATGTCCATCACTGGGGCTTGTTTCTAAATGTAAAAGAATGTCATCTGTTTTCAACTCTGTTTATGCTTTGTAATTGTTTAACTTTTTAAAGAATTTTCACTAAGAACTCTGGTGCATACTATCTGGGTGTAGAGATGTGATATTTTTGGGCATAATTATGGCATGTATTTTTTCACAATATGTAATATTGGTAGAATACTTTGTTTTGTGACAATATCCTACTACTTGTTTTAGTTATATAGGCATAATACATAGTACATATATTTGATCTTGTCAGCATTATGACAGAATACCCCTTACCAGGTTATGAGGAATCTACACTTAGGGTTGAATGTAACCATGCTTAAATATGC